ATAAAAAAACAAATAATAACTGGATAATTTCTCTTTGTCATCGGTAATAATAATTATATTTATAACATTTTTAATAATAATTAATTGTGCCCAAAAATTATTCCTATCATCTCAGTTGCCTATAAAACTAATGAAACAATTGGCGCATATGGTTCAAATATTAACTGGGGAAATTTCCACTTAAAAAAAAAACACTTTCGCCCATAAATTATTTGTTATTTTTTCAGTTGTCGGCCAATTGACAAATATTATTCAAAATATTTAGAGGAGCCTTCCTCTCTTCTTTGACGACTTCTTAAAGTCGGGAAATACTTTTAACCAAGATATTGCTGTAAGTATATTAGATTTCACATTAGATCCTAGCTTAGATATCACAATTCAGAAAACTGATAATGCAGAAGACTGATTCGTCAATGAACAATAAAAGATTTTGAGTAGTTTTCTATTTTTCGATGCCATATTGCCACTTTGAATTGGGTTGTTCAACGCATTGCAGCAATGCTGTGGTATATGTCAAGTGTCCACTTGCCAGACACAAATCAGCTTGGAGTCAGCAACGGCAGGTTCATATGCAAAGTGTGGCATAGAAAATCGTGGCAGATGCATTACAGCAAGCACGAAGCAAAAGCAAACAACGACAACAAATGTGTCACAATCAAATACCTTGGCTATACATTCTAAATAAGCACCACAACTATATACTATATATATATATATACGTATAGCAATATTTGCAACGGGGCGGACGATTTGTCAATGCGTTGGGGAATTCACAACTGTTGACGTTGACGATGACGACGTTGCTGTCAGTTGTAGGTCAATAATCATCGTATGGCAGATGAAACGCATACAGTGCCTGTTAAAAAAAAAGCATTTTTATCGGAAGTGGTTTGAGGACAGCCTAATTGTCATCATTGTATGTCCTGCCAGATTTCAATATCTTTGAGCTGATATATAATGAATAATTATTCAATAATTAGAAGGCTGCCAACCACCGCCAAACTCTCAATATGTTAGAAGCAATTAAATACCTGACATTTAAATTTAATAAGCATAAATATTATTATTTTATTAATATTGTTTTTATTTAACTTAATAAAGTTTTATTTATTATAATAATCTGGACTGATATTAGTCGACATTAATTAATAATAAAACATAATACTACAAAAACAAAAAATGTTAAAAAAATGAATACAAAAAAAAAACGTCACAGAAATAACAAGAAAATAATAAAAATACACTTTTTTTTCTTTACTTTGCCGACTCAATACCAATGAAGTAAATTTTTGGCAAATATTATTTTGAAGAGACACAATTAGAAACTCTTTACGCTACACGGTCTTTATGGTTGTATTTTCCCTTAATTTGATTATTTGGAGGAATATTTTTTCTTCCGCAGCTATACCGAATACCTGCGTGTCAATCCAATCCATACACACACAGAAATGTGATAAGAGTTATTTGTGCGAGTCTCGCTTATCGTGGCGCTTAAATATGAATTATATGTTGTTGGTGTTCGTTACAATCACTTAAATATATATTGTATATTCGATGCGTAAAACCGTTCCAGGAAGTACCGGTCACTAAAATACGGTCGTGATTACTCAGAATGTCATTCCAGTAGATGCCACCCCGTTTTTCCCATTTGTGTCTCTTGAATTTGGATGAATGTTATCAAATATTACAATTTTCCGTTGCTTATGCGATTTATTTTATTTAATGTGCAGTCTTTGGTGGGCGTCTGCGAGGATTCCTCCACTCAATTCGCAATGCGATGACGTAAAACCCAAACAAATGTGTAAATGATTGTTTTGTATTATAAAAAGCAGCAGTAAAAACAGCAAATTATCACTCAGAGTTGTGGATTGATCAATTTGCATTTGTTTTTCTAATTGTTTGCGATTCGCATTTATTGTTTTCCTGTTTTTTTTTTTGTGCTTTCATTTTTTGCGATATGTGCTTTCATTGATGATGTCTATTTATTTGCATTCAATTGTCTACTAAATTTAGTGTAGATCAACCAGTCTACGCATCGTGACCTAGAAAAGTATTTAATATAAATATTTATTAGTTACACAACTCGATTCGAATTATTGAGCAACATTTTTGCTGAGTTTTGATTTTACACATTGTTTTCAAGTGATTTTCAACTGTTTCACTTTCTACTGAGAAATGGGTTTGCAAAGAAATATAAAACTGTTTTAATAAATTTTTGTTAATAACATATTTAATAACAACCGCAGTGCTTATAATTTAAAGATAACTCAAATTAATTCCATAATAAATAGTTAATATCATTAATTAAGCAACATTACACATTAGTGGGGAAAATATGTATGAAAATATAAATATTTTTGAAAAGCTAAAAATGTGTGTACTTTATACATAAATATGACTAATATTTATTTTGATAGTCATAAATATATATATCAATAGATTCTATAATATTGAAATTGAAAATGAAGCTACTAGCTCTTAAAGTGATCACTGATAAATAATATGTATATATACTTTATGGAATAGTCAGAGTCGTTTTCTATCTGCTTAAAATAATCCTAAACTTTTAATTAAATATTCATACATATGTTGAACATGTTGAAGGAAATTAATCTAATTAATTGTCATTTTAAAATAGGCGCATTCGTTTTTTGTGATGTTTACTTGTAAGTTCAGAGTCCATATGGCATTGACTTGCATCTCTTTGAGGCAATAAGAATATTGAAAGCAACCCTCTTATCAAATAAATCAAGGACTACAAATCAGTTATTCAATTGACTATTTACTTAAATTAATTTTACAATATTATCAAATTTAGAAAGCTCTGGGCGAGGCAGTTTGACGAACAGATACACTCAACTCAGCTTTTGCATCATAGTAGTAGGCTTGCTGATAATAGTTTGCTTAATATGAAAATACGTTTTCGCAAAAAAATCGTAATGAAACTTGCACATTATATGTATACATATACAGTATATGTCAAGGTATATATAAAATGAAAGGATTGTGAGTTATAGTGCTAAGGGAAATCGATTTGTATCGATATTCGCGTAACTTATGTAGTTTTTATAGTCTCTGAAATCGGCTTGTTCAGACGGACATGGCTGAGACGATTTGACTCTTGATACTGATCAGGAATATACAGTGTCTCACAGCTCATCAGGGACAGTGTCTAGCGAAAAATTTAAAGTGCTATAAGGTTTAAACAAAGAAACAAAAAACGAAAACAAAAACATATCCAAAATACATGTCAAAGTTTATTTGGGACAGTCTTAGAAAAGTAACATATTTGGCGTATAAAAACTTAAATAAGGATGTTAAGGCTTAGTGTGATATCCTTTAGCCTTAATAACTCCCCTTAGCTTATTATTCATGGAAGATACCAGCTTCCGGGTAGTTTCTGGACTGATTTTGCTCCACTCATCCAGCAGAGCATTCTTGACATCGGATCTGTGATTCCGGATGTTATTTTCCAGCAGAGTCCACAAATTTTAAATAACATTTAAATCTGGAGACTGGGCCGGTGGAATTACCAGATAAGCCAGAACTGTACTAATCCGGACTTATGCTTGGTTGTTGTCCTGCTCGTGGTCCTGGTAGAACCGGAAAGTACGTCGGATTCCTAGCCTCTCGGCACTTTGAACTAAATTTTCCTTTAATATATTGAGATACACATTCTTGTCCATTGTTGTTTCAATAATCCACGATTTTCCGACGCCGGTTTCCGAGATAGATGCCCATACCATGACACTTCCTCCGCCGTGCTTGACTGTTGCCTTTAGGATTTTGGGATTTAGTATTGGACTGTCGCCACACATAATTCCGTCCGTCTAAGCCAAAAATGTTGAATTTGGGCTCATCTTCAAGTATGAATTTGTTCCAGAACTCCAAATCCTTGTCCAAGTGGATTTTGACGAATGTCATCCTAGTCCCATTATTTTTTGCGCTTATAAAGGGCTTCTTCCGTGGTACTCGGGCATTAAAGTCATGGTTGCGGAGAACCCGGCGCACAGTTTCCACACTGCACTTTTTCCCTATTTCATCCTGCACCTGCTGAGTCAGTTTTGGAGCCGATAACTTGGGATTTTCCCTTATTTTCCTGATGATCCTCCGCTCCTCCTGTTAGGTGAAAATCTTGTTTGGTGCCTTTCTGCCCTTGTCCTCTATCCGATTTTCGTCGACGAAGCGCCGAATGGTGTTGAATACAGTTGATTTGCTTAGATTTACCATTTCAGCTATTTAACGATGTGAATATCCGTTCTTGAAGTGTTCCAGGATGAGATTCCGTTGTTCAATGGTAGTCCGTTTGTCCATAGTCCTTGTTGGCTGGTTGCACCCGAGATGCAGGATATAACTAAACTGACTACGAAGGATTGGTATATTTATACCGAAAATAGTCAACCTGGTTTTATGGCAACCAGGTGTCCATAACGCCCCTGCTCCAAATAATATGTGGCCATAAATTAAGGTACTTTTTTACATAGCCCGGCCTAGCCGGTGGGGAAACTCCACTTTATTATATTCATTATTCATTATGGTGGTTAACATATGTACCTAGCATCGGTCTTTGGAATTTTTGAAAAATATTGTACAATTAGTTTATGGCAGGCAATTAAAATTGTTGCTAGGCACTGTCCCTGATGAGCTGTGAGACACTGTATATACATATACTCTATGAGATTTGAGATGCTTCTTTCTGTCACGGATATACTTTGGCACAACTTTTTCTACCGTTTTTAATCACTTTTAACGGTTTCAGCATACAAACAAAAAATGGAATTTGTAACTTGAAATATACATTTTTAAAACATTCATATAGACTAGTCTTTGCTTAGTACTGTTAGTCGATTGATAATGTCGGCCTGGGTTTTTGGAGGTGGATCGATTCTAGCTACGGCCAGAGCCACATTCTCACACCTTTATCCTTTTTTTTTTTTTGTTTATTTGAAGATGGTTTCACTCATTGTTTTTTTTTTTTCCTGCCAATTTTGTAATTGCAGGCAGCATGACCATACCGTCGAGACCCGCACCAGCACCGCCGGGATCACGTGGACAAAGCGCTGCGGCCGGAGCGAATGCGAGTCTGGAGCAGTTGCGTCTGCAACTGCAACAGCAACAGCTGCAGCAGCAGCAATCAACTAATGGTGGGCTACAGAAGCTGAGCATTAAGCTGCCACCGCCACCGAAGGGTCACATGCAGCAGCCACAACAGCAACAAGTTCTCCATAAGCGATCGGCCAGCAACAGCAGCAACAACAATGGTTTCTTTGATGTGGAAGGTGGGAGCGGCATAACCCGTAAATTTCCCCAGGCGCGCTATACGCCAGCCACCAACTGGAATGATGCACCTTTCGACAGTGGCATTCCCTCTTTTACTGCTGCTGGCAACAACAACTTCAAGAAAATGCCGCCGCCGCGACCGCCACCGCCCAAAGTGCAAGTCAATGGGCGCAAGCTGGCTAGCTTAAGCACAGGCAATGCCGGGGGTGGTGGAGGTGGTGGTGTGGGCGGTGGCATCATTAGCAACATATTCCATCGCAAAAAAACAACTACGGCAACTTCAACGGCTGCTGCTTCCAAGGCCGCAGCACAAAATCGTGTCTACGGCCTGAGCAGCGGCATTGGAACAGCTGGAACTGCAACCGCTTCCAACAGCAGCAGCAACAGCTACACAACAAACTCAAACACATACGATTGGAATGCAGCATGGAATACAGCGAGTACAACGACGACGATGACAGCAACGACGACGGCAACGAAAGCATCGAGCACCAGCCTCAACAATCAGCGTGAGATGGACGCACAGCTGATCAGCTTCGATTCGCCGCCTTCGTCGCCGACCTTCACCCAGAAATCGAACAGCGATTGCGTCAGCGTCGATAGCTTCAGCTCCGATAGCAATTTCAGTTCACCCAATAATGGCAGCGTTTCGCAGCCGGAGAGCGGCTTCGAGGATGATTATAATGCACGATCGCGTCCAGCGACACAGAGTCCCCTCGTCGCTGATCCTTGGGAGGCGGTGGACAACAGCAGCAGCGGCATCTATAGCAACGGCGTCGTTGATAGTTTTGGTGCTGCACCGGTGCGCCAGTTGCAGCCACAACATCTAGTGCAACACCAAGCAACGCGTAGCTCAGATAATCCCCTGTGCAATGGCCGGAGTCTGTTGCCGCCCGCTCAATCGCTGACGATGCCCACCATCATCAAGCCGAAGATATCGCAGAAGCCTAAAGCACCAAAGCCGCCACCATTCATTGGCCAGCCGCCACGATTTGGTTATGCCGGCAGCACTCAACCGCCCTGTCCACCTTCGCCGCCAATGCCTAGTTGTGCTCCTCCGCCACTTTCTGCAGTGGCAGCTGCTACTGGGCACATCTCACTGCTGGACGTGATCTCGGGCAAGGTGGATGCTCTGGCGTTGGGCAACGGCAGCTCTGGTTATGTCGAGGAGGAGCATCTGCCATATGCCATTGCACTCTACGATTTTGATGGCGTCGAGGAGGATGATCTAAATTTCAGAGTGAGCTTAACACACATTACTCTTAGGAGTTGAAACCTTAATAATTATTATTTCTTTAGGAGAACGAAAAGATTTATTTGCTGGAACAGCCCACTCCGGAATGGTATCGCGGACGTACACGCTCCGGCTGTGAGGGCCTCTTCCCCGTTAATTATGTGGAAACCAAGGTGCCATTAAGCGGCTGTGCAACGAATGATGCAACTCAGGGGCAACAGCAACCAACCCAACAACAACAACGGTTGAACACTGCGCGCTGCCTTTATAATTTCCCCGGCGAGGTTCAGGGAGATCTGCCCTTAAGGGTACGATAAGATCAAATTTTCATGTAATGGACATAAATTAAATTAATATTATTCAACAGGAAAACCAGCTGGTCAACGTGCTTTGTCGCATCAATGAGGATTGGCTATTCGGCGAGGTTGACGGACGGCAGGGTCAGTTTCCGGCTAATTTCTTAGAGCATATACCCTTCGATCTGCCGTCGATGTGAGGAGGGATGGATGATGATGGGATTATTTGAAAATATATATGTTTATCAATAAGAAGCAGGAATCAGAAACTATATTTTAATTATATATATACAAGGATTATATGTCGATAAGAAAAGGGAGTAGCAGCAGCAAATATCGTTGGAACTGAAACAAATTGTATTTCCTCTTGGTTACCCACACACAGACACACACACAAAACACAAAAACTAATTATATATAATATACGTGCGTTAAGTCTCGAGTTTATAGGAGTTATTTAAAAAGAGAAACCCATTTTACAGCGTAGTAGTTTGAGCCAGCACCTAATTTAAGACCCAAAATTCTTTTTCCATTTAATAATTGTTAACATAATTCTGATTCAAAGTATTTGATTATTTTTGATGCACTTGCAAATGAGTCGCGTGATGATCTTTTGATCCTTTTATAATAGTTAAAAAAAAAAAAAAACATAATACACAGAAAACACAAATATTTTTTTTTAGTTAGTTAGTCATTTAGCTAGGCACATTTACCATTTCCAATTGAATAAAATACATATGTGTGCTATTTAAAAATGAATTACCACTTAAGCTGTAGTCGGGACTAACCAAATATCAGGCAACAACTAACTAAACTAAAATAAATGTCAAGCTACGATGAACTGAAATAAATGAGAATGCTAAAAAATTCTATGGCAAAAAACCTCAATTAAATAATAGTAGAAAAGTGCTATCTGATTCCAAAAGGCTGGAGCATGGAGGAATACAGGTATAAAGCCATGACACCAATGAACCAGCATCACACACGATCGCAAACTTCGTCGGCTGCACAACATATAAACAATCGTAGCTCATTTTTACTGTTGCAAGAGATCCCCACAATTCGATCGAGCACCCATACAAACGAGCATCGGGGCACCCGTCGACCGAGTCACGCCCGGCAATACCAAAGCAGCTGTTCGGCACTGTCAATTGGCTCAGAGATATGGACACCCGACTGCGACGCGGGGTTACAATTGTAACCCGATTCGACAGTGCGAATGGGTAACCAATGGGTATTGGTCGGCCTCTGTCCAGCATTGGAGAGCACTTCCTCTCGCTGCGCCTAATCGATGGCCATAAAGAAGATCTCACCGTTCAGTCCTGCATAGAGCATAGAGGGATCCGACCATGAGGCTCGCCGTATTCATTAATTCCCACTTTAAATTATGGCATTAATCGTGTGCGATTTCGACCAAGACAAAAATAAAAGATTTACTCACTCTACCCCTACATAGAGAAAAGTGTAGCAGACAAAGCTAAATTTAATTCATTGCGGTCTGAACTCATCTCCTCCAAGCTGATGATCGCATTATCGATATCAATCGATAATGATATCGATATGTTGAAGTAAGATATTTTTGGGACGTGTGCAATCCCTTTTAGTTAGATAATATAATTAGAAGTTTGTAAAACAGAAGTGACGTTTGTCTTGTACGATTAAATACGCTTGTAACCCAGAAAAGGTAGGCTCTGCAAGAGAATGAAACCTTTGTCGGTCTGGAGTTCGAGATATTGTACTTTTTATATATATTATCTATTAAGAAATATATTTCTAAGGATGATATGAGGATTTTTTAGCCAAATGTAAGGAACACGCACAATTTGTTAGTTTGGTCTGGATATATTGGTAAAAAAATTAATTTAATCTGCTAATATACACTCCACGAAATTCGATGACTTGATTGCACTTGATTTTTTAAAATTAAACTTAAAATTTAAAAATTGTTTTTTGTTTCAAAAAAGTTACGTGTTTTTAGTACACGTTAAATTAAAAGGGAATTAAATTTGTAAAATTAACATAACATTTTTCATTATTTTGTTGTTGTTTAAAGTGAGGTTAAGGTTCGAAATCCGATTAAGGGCAGTGCTAATAAAATTAATACAATATGTAGAAATGACATGAAAATAGCAAATTAATAAAGTGTTCAGCCTATAGATTTGACTATAACAAAAAAAAAAAATCGATTTGACATCGACTTCTAGAACTCAGATAGTGGGATTTAATTACAGGTGTTTCCACATGTTATCTATGGGATTCAGGCCGGGTGATCTTGCCGGCCACTCTAAAAGCTTAAAACTATGTCCAACATTTTTATTTAACCCTCCGAGCCCATATGGCCTTAAATTTTACAAATCAGGGTCCTGTTGTGATTAATGAATGCAAATCAGATCATGAGTGGTGAAGCACCGCCACAGTAGGGAAAAATCTCTGACTTCTTTAAATCATGCCAGTAATAATTTAACTGTTATTATTATTATTATTATTAGGGGGAAGCCGCACCGCGACCTATTTGATCTATTGTGCCCCCCTTCTGAGCCTATAGCTCTTCCATCAGCCCCAACTCCCTTACGAACGTGAGGATATTTGTTGGGTTGAGGTCTACTATGTCTTTGCAATTCAAAACATGCGCCCCTAGGATGCTGCTTCTTCTTCTAATTAAGGCGACACATTCTGAAAGGATGTGCATCGAGGATTCCTCCTCTCTTTCACAAAACCTGCAGAGATCGCTACTATATATACCCAATTTTGTCAGGTGACTCCTTAGTCTACAGTGTCCTGTCAATAGACCGGTTAGTATCCTAAGGTTGTTCTTTCCATGGTTATAATCTGTTTAAAACGTACAAGATTATAACCACCAAGGAGACATCTGGCTTGTCGGAGTCCTACTGTCTCTGACCAGCTCTGATGCCGTCTCTGTCTCCCTATGCCACAATACGGTTCTGGTCCTGTTAGGTGCCTTTCTGCCCCCCTTCTTGCTTGCTTGTCAGCCGCCTCGTTTCCCGCTATGTCCCTGTGACCCGGGACCCATCGTAGGGTGAGCCTATTGTGAGTCCCGAGCAGGTCTAGCTTTGAACGAACTTTATGGACTACCTTCGATGTTATCTTAGTCCTCATTATAGCTTTCAATGCTGCTTGACTATCGGATAGGATGGATATATCCGTATTCCGATAGTTACGTTCTATGTTGATGTCCGCACATCTCCCTATCGCACACACTCAGCCTGAAATATGCTGGTGTGCGTTCCCAGGGATTCATGGTAACCCGAGGACCCACCACTCCAAGGCCGGTGCCCAAATTCGTGAATGATCCATCGGTGTACCATTTTATGGTGTGCGGTTTCATGGGATGGACTTCATCCAGAGTTGTCCATTCCCTTTTACTACTCATACGAACTGTGAAATTTCGCTCGAATATGTATTCGGCTGCCATTTCGTCCCTAGGTTGCGTCAGTAGGGGTAGTTCGTTTGAAAGGAGTTGGGCATCTTTATGGCTTAGGATATGGTTGCCCCCAACTCCTTCTGCTGATATCCTGAGAAGCGTGGCTTTCTGCTTGAGCCTTATGATATGGTGGAGTGGTGTGAGCTCCATTAAGGCTTCAAGGGCCATTGTTGGGCAGGTGCGCATAGCTCCTGTCATACATACGCAGGCCATTCTTTGCAACTTTTGTAGTTGTTTCTTCACGGTGATCATCCGCGCGATCATCCGCGTCTCATCCTCTGTAACTTATGTCGTCTGGTAAAGGGGACGATGACTGTTTTCGTAGGGTTTAGGTTGAGTCCAGCCTCCCTACACCAGTCATACGTCCAGTCAGGGAGGACTATGTCACAGAGTGATTCTTCAAATTTGCCTCGCGCTATGATAACAATGTCATCGGCATAACCTTGACATTGAATACCACTGTTGGCAAGTCTGTTTAGTAGTTCGTCTACTAACAGACTCCAGAGTAGCGGAGACAACACCCCCCAGCCCCCTTGGGGACAGCCTTTGGTGGTTAGGACTGTTACAGTGCTATCATGTAATGATGCCGTGGCTTGTCTGGACCGTAGCAGTGCCAGTATCCATCTGTTGGTGGTATGGTCCAGGCCCCTTCTTTCAAGAGTAGCATTGATTGCATCGTGAGATGCAAAGACACCTTCTATATCTAAGAAGACGCACAGTGCTACTTCCTTATTATCAATTGCCGCACTCAAAGTACGTCGCAGCTGATAAAGTGCTGTGTCCGTGGACCTGCCTACTGTGTATGCATGCTCCGTTGGGTGCAGCGGCATTTGTTTAAGCAAAGTGCTTCTGATTTTTAATTTAACTGTTTAAACCTGGACGTTTTTAGTATTATTTGTTGTAGTTTCCTTTTAATTTTAACATGTCAGAAATTTGCTGATTCCGATCGACAGAATTTAATTGATATTTGTCTCTTGTTCATTCTAGTATCCTTGTAAACAAGAATCTTAGCTATCTCCTCAGGTTAGAGTGTTTTTCCATTCCCATTCCAAATTTTTGTAGGCAACTCATCTATTTTTACACACATTAAAAATGGGTAAAAATGGTATAATGGTTTTGTGCAAATGTACGTAACAAGCAGAAGGAAGCATCCCCTATATCTATATTCTGCGGAACTCTGATACCTACGATTACGTGCACGTTTAAATTTATGTATGTATGTCTGTGTGTATGTATGTCTATGCATGAGTTTGTCGCCAGCCAGTTAGTATCAGTTCGGGCTTGTGAATAAAAATATGCGCTGCTTTCATTTTTTTAACTGTGTCCCTGTGTCTGACACAAAAAAAGAGTGAACTTGCGCAGACCTTCTCACATTTGGGTGCAAAACTTTTTAACGGGAAATTTGCCGATAAAACCATAATATATTTAACAGCTGGGTTCAGGGTATATTGTAGTCAAGCTCACTTTACCACAGCACTCTTACTTCTTACCAATAAAATATTAAATACATATGTACGAGGTGTGTTCAAAAAGTATCGCGAATTTTGAATTTTCGCGGGTTACGTATATTCGAATTTCGATTTTTTTGTAGCGTTATGTTGGTACTCATGTCTCTCACTTATGCCGACAAGCTCGGCCATTTTGAATGTTCACTTAATTGTTGACAGCTGCTTTGCTTGCACGTGTTTTGGATCGTCTTCGATTTTTACCTATTCAAAAAAATGGATCAAAGAACCTGTATCAAATTTTGTGTGAAAAACGAAATAAAGTGCGCGGATGCATTCCGAATGTTGATTGTGGCATACGGAGAAGCTACCTTGGACCGAACCAACGTTTATCGGTGGTACAAAATGTTCTCAGAAGGCCGAGAAGATGTGAACGACGAAGAGCGTGCCGGACGCCCGAGCACTTCAACAACAGACGAAAAAATTAATGGAGTGGAGAAAATGGTATTGGCCAATCGTCGAATCACCGTTAGAGAAGTTGCTGAGGAGCTAGATATATCGATTGGCTCATGCCATTCGATTTTTATCAATGATTTGGGCATGAGACGGGTCGCCGCGAAATTCGTACCAAAATTGCTCAATTGCGACCAAAAACAGCATCGCATGAACATTGCTAATGAGATGTTGGACTCTGTCCGCGACGACCCAAATTTGCTCCAGAGGGTCATAACTGGTGACGAATCGTGGGTTTATGGTTACGACGTGGAAACCAAAGCTCAATCATCTCAATGGAAGCTGCCGCACGAACCAAGACCGAAAAAAGCGCGCCAAGTTCGGTCGAATGTGAAAGTTTTGCTGACAGTTTTCTTCGATTGCAGGGGCGTGGTGCATCATGAGTTCTTGCCACAGGGTAGAACGGTCAATAAGGAATATTACCTGCAAGTTATGCGCAATTTGCGCGAAGCAATCCGCCAGAAACGCCCGGATTTGTGGAAGAACAAAAATTGGCTTTTGCACCACGATAACGCCCCTGCTCACACATCGTTGCTTGTGCGCGACTTTTTGGCCAAAAACAACACACTAATGATGCCGCAGCCACCGTATTCCCCAGATCTGGCCCCCTGTGACTTTTTCTTGTTCCCTAAACTGAAGAGGCCCATGAAAGGACGACGTTACGCTACGCTTGACGAGATAAAGACGGGATCGAAGGAGGAGCTGAACAAGATAAAAAAAAATGATTTTTTGAAGTGCTTCGAAGATTGGAAAAACCGTTGGCACAAGTGTATAATATCTCATGGGGATTACTTTGAAGGGGACAAAATAGATATTCATGAATAAATAAATAATATCTGAAAAAAACACAAAATTCGCGATACTTTTTGAACGCACCTATGTATACTTTATTATCCCATTCAAAGAATATCCATATAATGCACTACCTACTTCTGACTGCCTTTCTTCGAATTCTCGCCCAAACTAGCCATTAAAATTAAAATCTTGGAAAAAAATAACGGATCTTGCATTCCAATGCATCATAATAGTGTAAAAAGAAGCACCGTTACAAAATGAGTAAGCAACGCTTCTTGAGGCTTGGTACAGTTTTTAGCACTATAAACACGAGTGCCTTTAATCGAATCTTGTGGAGTGCATACAAATATATAATATAATACCAATTTTTTCCCCTCGTCACAAATTCACTATAAATATTAATTATGATACCTTTTTGTCGAATAGACAATTTGAAGTTGTTCTTCAACCAGTTTACCTGGAATTGAATCTGTATCTCAAACTATTTTAGTAGACAGTGTTTTTGGTAGGCTGTGGCGGCGACTTCTAGAACTCAGTGATTTGTTATACTTGCTTTCCTCATTACGGCCTGATCAAACTTCGTCGTTGAATGTCAAAGCAAAATTTTATTTAATTTTTTTTTGGATGTGTTAAAAATACAGTCACAATTTTTCTGTACTCGAAACAAACAAAATTATTTCATTTAACAACTGCGAATTCAATTTTTTGTTTTTTCCTTTTTTTGTGACTTGAACACAAAAAGTTCCTCATTAGAAGTCGGAAGCAGGTGAGTAACTGGTTAAAAAAAAATTGTAATTAAGAAATAAAGTAAATATCACAGCGAGTATAAAGAAGCTACAATTCATTTGTGGTAATCAGTTAACTATGGGTGATCCATCGTGTGATCCATGCCAGGCACCCGTTGATTTTCGATCATGTCCACCAAATGCGTTGTGTCAGCCATGCGATCGTGGCGACTATTCCGGCTGTTGCTATCAGCAGCCGGCACGCACACTTCCCATTATTCCGCAAACACATTTTATGCGCTCCACTGCACCTCTGGACACGGACACCATTTATCGCCGATCATACTACGGTAACTGTGGCGACAATCTGCGTGCCCAGCCAGTGAAGCCATGTAATCACATAGCCGCAAATACGGCACCGATGGAGAAGTGTACCGTACAGAAGCTATCCTATATGCCGCCGTGTCCGGCCTCGCGCACCATGCCCATTCTGCCAATGGAGAGTGGATTGCGTTTTGAGGGGCCAATTTATGCGATGAGCTCGCAGAAGCATGACTATGTGCCCAAGGGCAATGTGAAGCGTGCACCGTGTTTGCCGCGTGTCGCCATCTGCTCCTCGACAGCGCCCATGGAGCGCTGCACGATCCAAAAGTTGAGCTACATGCCAGTGGATGTCTGCCAGAATCCGCCGCCGAAGCTATTGCCACAGCCTTCGCACTACTGCAAGCCCGTCGGCCCAATGGAACGCTGCACCATACAGAAGCTATCGTATATGCCGGTGTGTCTGCCACCCAAGGAGCCAACTCCCTGGGCAGACAAGATTCGCTGTGTGCCACCCAACTATCAGAATATCTGCTCCACTTATAATCTGAGCTACATGCCCAATTGCAACACAGGACGCACAGCCCCAATGCTGCCAATGAACACCCTGCGCTTCCTGGGCAATGATTCGGGATGCGCCAATACGGTTTACAAACTGAGCTACAGGCCCGTCGATGCATCGCGCACCAAGCCGTTGCCCATCTTGCCAAGGGACACGTTCCGCAGGGCCACAGGACCACTGGAGAGGTGCACAGTCCAAAAGGTGAGTGGAATTCCAATTATATTTTTATTTTTATTAATGATCATGCCAGAGTACTATTGATAATTATTTGTATGATAGTTTACGTAATTGTAAATCTTTTTATTAATATTAATATTATATTATTTTTATTATTATTAGCCTATTATATTTTTGTACCCTGAACCCATTAAAAATGAAATCAGCATTGTAGTAGATTTGAAATAGATTGAATCAGAGTTCCTTCCGAAGACTTTCGACTGTGTGACTGTCGACTATTTAAATATTTATTAACGCATATTTTAAGAATTTATGCGAAAGAATTTACTTTTATATTTGCTAAGCTAAAATTGCCATTTGTAGGAATGTTTCTTAACGAAATTGTCTAGGGGAAATCTTAAAAGGGTTATCACTGTCTCTACATGCGAAATTGTTTGTTCGAACAGCCGTCGGCGCACTGTGGACTCATCCCATTGAAATCTATCTTTGTATGTATGCGTACATGTGTGATCATCGAGAAACAAAGAATTTTGTATGTTGAGACAATGATACTCTCTTTTAGGTTTGTACTAAATTGGCCACCCCACTACGAAAGATTACACATCAGGCTCAAAAACTACAAAAAAAATGAAAATCGAGTACTACCGTGCACACAAAAAGACAAGGATAGGCTGTTCCTGCTATTTTCGCACACATTCAAGGGTCTGCGGGAGCCGGTAGAAATACAAATAGCTGATGCTTTCGCACACATTCATAACCCATTAGAAAAGATGCTTACCCATGCACGCATGCTCTTAAAGGGCTGGGATTTGCATTTACCCGCGACGTTGTCGCAGCGAAGTCAAGTGGAATAATTACCTGCGTTCGCTGCTCGAAACGCGACCCCTGCACAATTTTCGACGCGTCGCAGCCCCAGGAAAAACCAGTTGCACTTTTTTGTCGATCTGACGCATCTATGTGTTGCTTAGTGGTAACAAGCAGAATGAATCTCCGACCCCATAAAGAATATATATTCTTGATTAGGGTCAACCGCCGAGTCGACGTAGCCATGTCCGTCTGTCCGCCCGTCTGGATGAATACGACTAGAGACTTCAAACGGAATATAGGTTCCCGCATACCCGGCGCAGATCAAGTTTGCTTTATTTGATCGAGAACTGCCTCCGTTTCTCGAATATCGATATATTTCGATTTTCGATAGCAATAAATGCTACACTTTTAAGGCAAAATCTTCTAATTAATACATAATATGCATATGCATTTTATTGATCAACTGTCCAAATTTTCATTTCATCAAGATCGGATAAGAAACACCCAAGTTATAGTCGAAAATATATTCTCATAGTGGTCTCATTTCTATCAGAAGCCGCAAGCATATTCTGTTTGCATAAATATGCGCTTGCATATGTGAAAAAGTGATGGCATGATAATCGATGTGTCAATTTGTTTTTGTGTATATTCTGCGGAGCTCCGATATCTGCGATTTCGTGTACGTATATATGTAGGTATGTATGTATGTATGTATGTGTGTATGTGTGTACATGCACGCGTTTGTTGCCAGCCAGTTAGTATCAGTTCGGGCTTGTGAATAAAAATATGCGCTGCTTTCATTTTGCTTACTCTGTATCCCTGTGTCTGACACAAAAAAAAGTGACTTGCAATCCTTCTTACTTTTTGTCAATAAAACTATAATATATTTAACAGCTGGGTTCAGGGTATATCGTAGTCGAGCTCACTCTACTGCAGCACTGTTGTTATTTTTCTTAAGTGCATTAGTAGACGTATTATTATAAAATGTTAACACAGCGAAATGAATGTATTTATATACATTTTTAAAATTATAATGTTAAAGCTTTTAAAATTATTGAAAGACTATATAAGCCAAATTCTCAATATTTTTGCGAAAAATTTCGTACTCAAGGTCAATACAATTTTTATCAAAAGAAAGCCTTTGTCGAGGGAACATATTTTTTTCTTCAGAAAATTATCTCGTTGTTTTGAAATTTCTTACGGCAAGAATGTGCCTAAAACGTGAACATGATTTTAAATTTCTTTTTATGTATTCAAATTCTAAAATTTAAACGTATTTAAAGGTACTTTAAAATTTAAAATGTCCATTGCTGGGGAGTAGCATCCTCATAGCACAACAATAACAGTAAGTCGCCCATTGGAAAGAAACACAATTATACATAGAGACGTTATCATTAAATTCCTCATATATATTATTAATTCACTGCATCTAAATATTTCACATATCTATTCACTTTTTATAAGAAGCCTCAATTGAATTATTAGATTGCGGATTTTACTTGCATTTTGCAGATTAAAATAGAAAATCTGTCCTGGTTGTGTTTAAATTTATAACAGATCAACTTCAACTGTATCGACTATCATTATTTATTTTATTTTATTTTACAAAATTATAACTTGGCAATAAATACAAAGCAATTATGTCTTGTTAACTAGTACTAACCTAGGCCTTTGATTCTATATAATCGGGAATAATTATTCCAGATATCCCTGAATCGTTTTTTATATAGATAATTACTATTTCAGTAACGATTTCCATTCTATGACTGGTGTTTCCGCCGACAGCTCTCATATCAGCCCAATTGCACTGAGCGCATACCGCCTATCCGCCCCATGGAGAATGGACTGCGGTTCGATGGACCCTTGTATGCGATGACGACACAGAAGCACGACTTTGTTCCAAAGCCGCATGTGCGTCGTGCCCCGATAATGCCCTTAACCGCCTTCTGCCGGCCTAGCGGTGCCATGGAGCGATGCACCGTTAATAAGCTGTCGTATATGCCGGTGGATGTGACCTGTTTTCCACGGCCGGAGGCGATTAGGCCGCGTCAAGGCTTCTGTCGCAACGATGGACCGATGGATAACTGTACCACATACAAACTGAGCTTTTTGCCCAATTGTGTGCAGCCGAAGGAGCCGTTGCCATGGGCACGCTACACATCCTATTGCCGGCCCAGTGGACCCATCGAAAAGTGCACCATCCAAAAGTTGAGCTATGGACCGCCGGGTGCCTTTCAGCGATGCGGTGGTGTGTGGCATATGGGACTTAATTATAATAAAAATACATATATATTTATTTTTTACTTTTTGCTTACAGGTCCATGTGGTCCTGGCATTACAGATACTGGCTGCTATCCAAAGGCTGGCATTTGTTGAACTGGAAATATGTTTTGCTAGCCTCGTCGCCCCGTCCCCCTTAGATGTTTTATGTTTATATGTTATATCCAAAATCTTCAAGTCCGTTTACATAAACCAGGAAGTCAATCTTTACACATACCCACGCGCACCGCATACCAAGACATACATTCCGTTCAAAAATATAAGTCAAAAATTGCATGTGTGTCGCTAAGTGTTTTAATGAAATCTATTTTATTATTTCAAATTAAATGTCCTATATATATTGAAATTTAATATTTATTTATTTTTACGCCATTTGAATTTGAATGCGCCGCTTGGCAGACGCTCGACACTTCTTCTCACTCTTGCGTCTCGCTAGCGTTGCGTCCCGGAACAGCTGGACACCTTGGCGCTGTTCCACATCCGCCTGGAGCAGAGACAGCGCGTGCAGATTGCAACCCGTTAGGTCGCGCAGCTGTTTGATATCGTGCTTGAGCAGGCCCAACAGCTTGAGTAGCAGTGGCTTCATAGATTTGGCCGCCGCAATGGGTTTCATGTGCACCTTGAAGAGGAACACGGTCACGCGGCATAGCAGCTCTACTTCGTCGGGTCTTTGGGTGATTAGTGCGGGCAAACGCTCGAGCAGCTCGCACACAATCGAAAAGGGCAGCAGGAGCAGGGACTCCTCCATATCGGAGGTGCGTATGCGCACAAGTGTCGTGACCAGAAAATCATTCGGGTTCTTCACCTGCAATGCCAGCATCAGCGGATGCAGCTCCGGCTTCTCATCCGACTCCAGCTCAAATTGTTTCGAGATTTCGAGGCATTCCATGATGGATTCGGCTGCCTGTTCGGCGCCAGCAGTTTTTCGAGAGGGCAACTTAAGACCGGGTAGCAGGGGCACACTATTATCTTCACCGGTGGCCAATTTCTCGTTTTCCAACTGGTCGCGCTCCTCTTCCTGGACGTCCTGCAGCACAATGGTCTCTTCGGTGCGCTCGTACATGCGCAGTGTGCGATCCGACCCGCAGCTGACCAGATACCGGCCATTGGGCGAGACAGAGAGGCAGTGCGCCTCGCCAATATGCCCCGGCAGCGTGATGATCTTCTCGAAGGAGTCGCCATCCCATTGCTTGACCTTGCCATCCTTGCCACAACTGAAAAACATGTGTGTTTTTGGTATAAATTGCAGCGACATCACCGAATCATCATGTGCAAAGATCGAACGATGACAATCACCAAAATTGAGACCCCAAATCTTAATATTGCGATCAGCCGAACCCGTTGCTATCAGCGTCGAGTCATAAGAGATATCCATGCAGAGCACGGGCAATTTGTGTCCGTACAGCGACAGATAAAACTTGAACGTGTCCAGGAAAAATATCTTCACAGTGGCATCGAGCAGACCCACAGCCAGGTATTTCATATTCGGGCTAATGGCCACACACAGCACCGTCTCCTCCAGCTTGAGCGTGTTCTTGTGCAGCAGCGAGAGTACTTTGGTCTGGCCAGCTTCCTCGCCACTATCGATCAGCTCAAAGGTCCAGATTTTCAGCGTTGTATCACTACTGCCCGTGACACAACCCTTCTGATCCGGCAGCAGAGCAATGCTCCACAGTTCGCTCTCGTGCGCGGGGATTTGCTCAACAATATCCGCTGCGCTCACATCCACAATGAGCAGCTTGCCGCTCTTCATGCCCAACAGCACATAGCGATCGCCGGGCACAAAACGTGAGCAGAGTATATATTGGGTGGGCACTGTTCTCAAACATTGCATTGCATCCCGATCCCAGAACTTGAAGGAATCTCCAGCGCCAGAGCCAATTGCCAGCGAATCGTTGCTGAAGCACACTGAACGCAACTCCGACTGGTGACCGAGCCGCGTTAGGGAGCGTAGCAGTTTGATACTGCCATCCATCTGGGATGAGCTACTCTTTCGAGATTTAAGCGAGGCCTCCAGTGAGTAAAGAGTCATGCTGTTGTTGGCAAGACTGACGAGCATTCGCAGCTCTTTGTTCTCGCCGAGCAGCACATCGATAGATTTGATCTTTTGTTTCGTTTTAATGCTCTCCAGTCGCTTGATCTCATCGCTGAGCGACAGCTCCTTGGACAGCTGTTCATCGTTCTCCTCGGACGCCGTCTGCGCATCCAGCGCCTTTTTGCGCGCCTTCTTCAGGCGCTTTGCCAAACGCTGCTTGGCCTCCTCGCCAGTGCATATGTAAAAGTTCTCAATCAGATCATTGGTGCCATGACAACTTAGCACCCGTTCGTTGGGATCGGCCACCAAATTGACGGTGCGTCCTTTGCCGGCACGTTGGATGGTGCCGCAATTGCTGACGCTTAGCGGACTAATTGTATCCTCATCGTCGATGGCCAAGCCCTGGACGGCTGCCTCGAGTGTTGCATGCGCTGATGCATCCTCGCGCTTTCGCAGGCGATACACATTCATGCCACTCTCACCAGCGCCGGCAATCATCAGATCGTTGACAAAAGCCAAGGCCCAGATTTCGGTACGATTGTCCACAATGGTTTTAAAACAGAATTGTGTCTCCAGATTCCAAAGCTTGATTTGCGTATCCTTCGAACAACTGACGACAACCTCCTGCTCGACTAGACGTTGCAGGAAATGTGCATCCGTTACGGCAGCATTGTGTCCACTGAGACGCTGTCGCCCAGCCTGCTCCACGACATCGACAACAACCAACTCCGTGTCCAGGCCACCACTCACAAGGCGCATGCCATGCGCATCGTAGCGCAGTACGCTGACTGCATTCTTGTGCAGAGCCAGCGAGCAGATGGCATCGTAATATGTTCGCGAGCTTAGATCAAATATTTGAACAACGCCGTCCGCATAGCCGACGGCGATGTGCAGATGATCGGGTGAGACACGCAGTGCTGTCACCTCTTGTTTTTCGCGGCGTAGCGTCAGCTTCCGCTCGCCCATGCTGTAAGTACATATTTGAAGTTGATATTTTTTTTTATAAATATTGTACAAATCGCATGCTTACCGCAAGTCCCAAATGATAACATTCTCAGCTGCTGGGGCGGCAACAAAACGGCCCTCACTCTGCTCGAGTACGGCGAAATTCAAATTGGCACGACCCGAGGCGATTATGTTGAAGCTGTCAATGGCACGATATGCCAAATATTGTTTCGTTAGACCCATTATATGATTTAAATTGAACAAAAACAACAGGTGAAGACGCGCGGTCTGCACGTGTTACAAATGACATTGAGAAGTGTGGCTAAATTTCGCCGAATATACCACGACTGTAATCGATAAGTACCGCATGCGGGCCAAACAAAATGTGTTTTCCAGCACTAGTGCATGGAATCGATAATTGTCCGTTATGCACATGCGCCTGTTCCTGCTTTTCTGAGACACCCTTCATTAATACCTAAATAAAAACATTTCACGTCTAACCGAATCACCAAAGTAGCTATAAACTATATACTAACTATGGCCACACAAGGAATAGGTTCTCAAACTTAAACACATTAATTGCAAAAATTAAAGATTTATCGTTGCAGGTGCTTCGGACTTGGACACCGAATCAGTGGAAGTGCTGCGAGAACGCTTAAGCACCATGAAACGTTTAATGGCCGAGCGAACAGCACAGCAACAGAATAATCCAGCATCAACCGAAGAGATTTTCTCAACCAAACGCCATCGGTCTGCAAACATCATCGATGGAAATTTTCTGAGTATTGCGTTTGGCGGTGCTTTGCTAGTGATTGTGACGGTTTCGGTGTACGCCTTCTACAATCTTTATCATGCCATACTCAAGAAGTTCCCTTCTCATCACGAGGAGTTGTAATAACGCTCAATACTAACGAATGTGTATTATATTAGTATGAATTTGTGTTCATTTAATAAATAACGACACCGCCCAGGCGGTGGTTAATAACGACAGTAAATGAAACTCGCTATTGTTTTATTTGCTGTTTTGCATTCGGTTAAATTAACTATTTATTGAATTTGTTACCTTCTTAATTACAATAATCAATATTTCTCATACGTTCTAGTTAATGTTTTATTATTCTGCATTATCGTAGTAAGGGCGAAAAACCAAAACAACTAGTAATCTGAATGCATGGACAACAAAATAGAACAAAGATCGTTAGGCATATAGTTGGATAGTCACTACAATAATAATCATACGAAATCAATAACCTTCAGCATGCATAATATAAGTATGTCTATATATGCATACATTTAAATAAAGCACAAAGGAATACAGAGTCTGGAATTGGCAGGGCAAACAGAAGTAAATGGTGAAAAACCTGAGCATACAATTGCTTAAAGAGATTTGATTTTGCTTACTCGCTACTAGCTACAAATTCAAAACGATTCCCCTAATTGTTTTGTTGTTGGTTTTTTATTTTCTTATAACCTTCGTTTTTTTAAACACCTATGTATCGATAAGTAAATGTTGCTGTTTCATGATTTGCTCCATTTTCGGTTTTAGTTTGTTTAAAAAAGAAATTAATATCGTTTTGTTGTTTTTAATTGAAATAATAATATGTTTGTATTTAGCATTGCTGCACTTATCTCCATTGTTTTCTTATTCTTTTTTGTTTTTTCTTTATATATATATATAAAAGTTCTCCTAGTTGTTTTACATAATTTCAGAATTGAAAATTGCGGTTGAAAAGCGAACAATTTTAATTTTTGGCATTCGAAATAAAAGTTAGAAATTTATTGAAAGTAACACTCGAATTTTTAAAAATGTATTTGTTGATTGAATTACTGGACTTCTGTAACTTCCGTTCAGCTTGCGCTGTCACTGTGTCGCTCGGGTCGTTTTTATAATTCGGTTTGGGTATTTGTGGGTGTGGCTGTGAGCGTGTGTAGGTCTATGTGGAGTTTGGGGGCTGTCGGCTTTTTACAAATTTGTTAAATTCCCTATTCTTGATTTGACTCTGCGGCTGCTGTTTCGGTTGCTGCTGTTGGTTTATTTCTTGTTAATCAGATATTGTCAACGGAATCAGCGTCGTCCTCAGAACTAATCTCATCGCCGAACTCAATATCCTCATCGAAGCCATCCTCAACGAATGTGACTGTCTCGTTAATGCGCACCGATTCCGGAAATTCGCCGTATGTCTTCAGATTTCGAGCCTCATCCGGTGTGTACTTCAAGATGACATCGGCCTTTGAATCCTGATAATCACGCAAGCCGACCAATATAATGTCCCCCTGATTGATCCATACCTGTAACAGTAAACAAAAGCACACCAGTGCGTTAGAAATTTATTAACTATAGTTGGAATTCCTATAGTTTTCAATTTCATTTGTAAATAGTACAACACAATACACAATCTATGCATATGATGTGTACATAAATCGTGACTCAAGAGCACACTGCCAACAGGTAAAGCAATGGTACACTTTGTATCATTCATTATGTCTTTTTTTGTAATAGATAACCGATCTTTAAATAAATTGGCGCCACACTTCTGGGTATTTCACCATTTGTTGCAATGTTCGCTTTATTATCTGGTAAAATGGTTAGGACATAAACAGGCGGAAAAAGTATTGATATTTTGAATCGATTTGATATTACTTACTTATTTTTGTACTTACTTGACATGATAAGCAAACTTTTAAACGGTGTTTAAATATTCTATTAAATAAATATGTTTTCTTTTATTTATGTACAGCAAGCCCAGAATTAATTACTATTTAGTAATAACTGTGTTAATAGTAAATTGGTTTTTATATGGAATAATACTTAGTATGATATCCTTTAGCCCTAATAACTTCCCCTAACCTATTATTCATGGAAGATACCAGCTTCCGGGTCGTTTCTGGACTGATTTCACTCCACTCATCCAGCAGAGCATTCTTGAGATCGGATCTGTGATTTCTGATCTTATTTTCCAGCAGAGCCCACAAATTTTAAATAACGTTTAAATCTGGAGACTGGGCCTGTGGAATTATCTTATGGGGGCAGTTCCAGATATGCCAGGACTGTACTAATCCGGACTTATGCTTGGCTGTTGTCCTGGTCGTTGTCGTAGTAGATCTGGAAAGTACGCCGGATTCCTAGCTTCTCGGCACTTTGGAGTACATTTTCCTTTAATATATTTCCGACGCCGGCTTCCGAGATAGATGCCCATACTATGACACTTCCTCCGTCGTGCTTGACTGTTGCCTTTAGGATTTTGGGACTCAGCTCAGTATTGGACAGTCGCCACACATAATTCCGTCCGTTTAAGCCAAAAATGTTGAATTTGGGCTCATCTTCAAGTATGAATTTGTTCCAGAACTCCAAATCCTTGTCCAAGTGGATTTTGACGAATGTCATCCTAGTCCCTTTATTTTTTGCGCTTATAAAGGGCTTATTCCGTGGTACTCGGGCATTAAAGTCATGGTTGCGCAGAACCTGGCGCACAGTTTCCATACTGCACTTTTTCCCCATTTCATCCTGCACCTGTTGAGTCAGTTTTGGAGCCGATAGCTTGGGATTTTCCCTTATTTTCCTGATGATCCTCCGCTCCTCCTGTTCGGTGAAAATCTTGTTTGGTGCCATTCTGCCCTTGTCCTCTATCCGATTTTCGTCGATGAAGCGCCGAATGATGTTGAATACAGTTGTGGTGCTTAGATTTACCATTTTAACTATTTGGCGATATGAATATCCAATCTTGAAGTGTTCCAGGATGAGACTCCGTTGCTCAATTGTAGTCCGTTTGTCCATAGTCCTTGTTGGCTGGTGGCACCCGAGATGCAAGATATAACTAAACTGACTACGAAGGATTGGTCTACTTATTCCGAAAATAATCAACCTGACGAAAAAAATCCGGGTTTTATGGCACCCAGGTGTCCATAACGCCCCTGGTCCAAATTCTATGTGACCATAAATTAAGGTACTTTTTTACATAACCCGACCTAGCAAGGGGGGAAACCCCAGTTTATGGGGGTCATATAGTCATTTAGGTGGTTAATATATGTACCTACCATCGGTCTTTGGAATTTTTGAAAAATGTTGGATAACTAGTTTATGACAAGCAATTAAATTTTTTGCTAGACACTGGGTCTTTTGAGCTGTGAGACACTGTATATATGGAACTTTTAGCTTGTTAACATTTTATGCATATGCCTTTGGTCAATCGATTAGGAAAATTATCAAGATCAAATTAAGTTTGATCGTAAGTAATTCCCTCTCTTTCTCTTATCTGGGATCCAATTCTCCGTTTTCCTTGTTTTTGCTTATTAATTTTTCGTTATTTTTTTTTTTTTTTAATATTTCTGGGAAATCTTTGACAGTGCTTAATTGAAGTTATTTTTATATCCTGATCCCATTTAAAATGGGTAGAACAGGGTATACAATTTTAAGGACTGAATCTTCTCTTTAAAAACATAATTTGCATATGCATATTATTGATCGACTGCCCAAATTTCATCAAGATCAGATTAGGAAGACCCAGTCGAAAATGTATTCTCATATTGATCTCACTTCCATCAGAAGCCGCGAGCATTTTCTGTATGCATAAATTCGCGTCCACATGCGTAAAAGAGAGATGGCATGATAATCGTCGCGAGCGTCAATATGTTTTTGTGTGTATGCTGCAGAGCCCCGTTTCCCCGTTACGATTGCGTGAACATATATATGTATGTATGTATGAATATTCACGTGTTTGTCGGCAGAGCGCGCTTGCAGACCTTCTCACATTTTGGTGCAAAACTTTTAAATGGAAATTTTCCAATAAAACTAAAAATATTTTACAACTTAGTTCAGGGTAAATCGAAGTCGATCTCACTCATTTGTTTTAATATTGAAATTTGTAGCATTAATTTTAAGTTTAAATTTTTATTTTTTAAATATTGTGGATGGTTTTTAATCCATATTCAATAAATAAATAATTTGAAAATAAGTACGAAATCAATTTTAATGTATCTCTGGGAAATCATTGACAGTACTTAATTGAAGTTATTTTTTTAACTTTACAAGTTAAATATTTCTTATTTTTTCATTTATAGATATAATTTTAAATTTTATCTTACATTTAATTTAATGTAAATTTTGTTTACTTTTTGTATTTTTTGCGTAGATTGCCTTTAGTTGACATTAAATAAATGAAGTTAATATAGTATACAATCTTTTCTTTTTTTTTGACTCGCTCTCTCCTTCCCCTACCATTATTGTCCTCTTCATACCTCTGTATCTTCTAAAGCTCTAACCTTTACCTATTTTCTGGGCTTGTCCAATCGTTACTTTTTTTTATACTCTGAAACTTAAGGTATCATAGTATATTGGGACAGGGACACAGCGGGAAACGAAGCGGCTGATAAGCAAGCAAGAATGGAGCAGAAAGACTTCTAACAGGACCCGAACCGTATTGTGCCATAGGAAGACACACTATACGACTGGAATGGAACTGGAAATAAATGAGGAGAGACAGAGGCATCAACAGAGCTGGTCAGAGGCAGTGGGACTCCGACAAGCTAGATGTCTCCTGGGTGGTTATAATCTTAGAAGATTTAAGCAAGTTATAATGGGATAGAACAGCCTTAGGATACTTACCGGTCTATTGACAGGACACTGTAGACTAAGAAGTCACCTAACTAACCTAGGTTTATATGGGTGATCTTTGCAGGTTTTGTGAAAGAGAGGAGGAATTCTCGATCGATCAAAATCGATCATTGGAAATCGATAAAGCCACAGATCTCCCACAATTTTAAGGCTACGGTCACAAAGTTTACTTGGTAGGTTATTGACGATGTCATTCAAAGATCGGTATATGCCACGCCCACCCCAACCGCCCCGCAATTTTTGAGTTAGAGCCGTAAAATTTGGTAGGTGTATTACTGGTAGTCGTCTTTAAGAACCGATAAAAAAATTGTAATTGTAATTGTAAAAAAAATGTAAGTCGATATATTCGCATATCGCCCACAATTTTAAGGATTGAGTGCCCAAACTTGGAAGGTAACTTGCTCGCAATCTACTTCAAAGATCGGCATAAAGGAACTTCGGCCCTAGAAATTTGAAATCCGCACATCTTCCACTATTTGTAAGGTAGTCACCAAATTTTGAAAGTTGTTCACTGGTAACTCCCCTAAGAGATTGTTCGGAAATTGGATGCCACGCCCTCTCTGTCTCCCCAAACACCAGCGAAAGACATATTTAAATTGTAAAACGAGTTCACCAAACAATGAACTAAGTTAAGTTGTTAAAGTTTGTAGTAAAATGTTGTTTCCTCGGTATCGCAGATTCCGGCTTCCTAATCTATATATTTATTTAGCAATTAACTATTTTCATAAAAAAAATATTTAGACAACTGAGATTTAAGCCGGTTGATTTTTCTAAGAAATCATTGACGCCAACGGAAGTCTAACTTTTCGAAATATTTGGGTAACCTACGATAAATATTATGGTGGCAATTAGTCAACCTGTTGCCAACTGACCTACAACAACTTGCACTTGTTGCGTGATACCCATTCATAAATTCACTTCCTGTGCGACTTGACTTGACTTCCTGGCGTAGTATTTTCACTACTGGTCAGCGATGAGGCTAATGCCCCTAAGTGCAATAAGTACCAAATTAATGCATAAATATGACACATGCATAAAATGAGACATGATAACAGTGATATTGAAAGAGTACAAAATAGGTTTGATAGCGAATTCGCTTTAAAATTTAATTAAGCACAAAATGATTTCAACGTTACGTTATCGCCATAAATAAACAAAACTGAACTTTGGAGCATTAATCATAGGGCTCAAGTGGAGAAAAAGGGGTAATTTGAGAGTGTATGAGTGATGGCGTGTGGCATTGGCTCAAATCCTGCCTCATTATACAAATACACATACGCTCATTTGTATGTTCCATCATATATCATGCAATAAATCCATAGTGCCGCCTCCGTGCGACAGGCGTCAGGTACGATAGATAAAAGAATCGTGACTAAATCACTTTAAAATCAGCATATTACCCAAGGGCTTGAAACTTGTGAAGTGAACCAAAGATAAGCATTCCGATCGACATGCCTGAACATGCGGGGTCTGGGAAGTCCCCACGACGAGCAAATACCGATCCGTTAACGAATCACTAATTGCGTTGCTACAACGACGTGGCTCCGAAGACCAGGAGAGGGGCGGCCTCACTCTGTCATCAAATTGGTATTTGTAGCAGCAGGTATCATTTCCTCAATATGAACAATCTGCTATAAATAATATATATAGTACGTATATGGGCATTGCCCACATACGATACAAAAATTTGTGGGTCTTATCAATGACGAACTAGCTACACAAATTGTAGTATGGCTTTAGCGAATAACTTTGATGCAATCTTTTTTTGAGTTTTGATTTAGCAATGTAGTATCTAAAAAATAGAATATAATATTGTAATTTTCATGAACTTTTCTGTGTTTAAGAAACCAATCTGTTTGATTGTCTCTGAGATAACGGCTATAAAAAAACACTCTTACACTGAATCATAATGCGGTATTCGAGGAAGCGCTTATCAGACTAAATCACATGAGTGCGGCATGCTTTTGGAGAAAGAAAAACAAACAAAATTTGTTTAAAGTAATGTTCAATGTACATTTCACTATATTCCACATGTAAATGTAAATGATAACAACCGGTTTACATAATATATACATAGTAAGCTTAATAAGATTTACAAGGCATATAATCACATCGGTATTTATCAGTTCGTAGGGAGCCGTCCTCTAAGCACACGCCAAATTATTATCAGACGGCATAGAAAATCCGTAACTAGACACTCTCTTTCTTTATTAAATTACGCGTAATTGCGATAAAAATTTGAGGCAGCCAATAGCAAGGCACACACTCCGTACTCTCTCTCACAAAGCCTTATCAATGACTCTCGCTGGCTGTGATAAGAGCTTGCCTATAAATACGGTCAGTTTGCGATAGGCAACTGCAAATTTAAAAACGGCAACAAGCAGTGCAGAACAAAAGAAAACGGCAAACCACAGCCGAAAGAAAAGTGAATTCCATGCCAAATACAAAGGGAATACAAGTGAAGTGTTATCAACACGCCAAAGCCAAAGCGAAGGCTAAAAGCTAAAAGTAAACAAGAACTTACAAGCCAAATTAATATACAATCCACAAGCATAAACCTAAAACTCATTTCGAGAGCACGCGTTAACGCATCAAAATTGCGATCAGTACTAATTTAATTACGTGCGGGGCGTGCAGCAATCAGAGCGAAGAAATCATTATGATATTATCCTACAGATATATTTATTCAGTTCTACTGACCACAATTGCCAGCATTATGGTTGTGCTCAGCTCGGCTCCGCACATGCAGCTGCCGGTGCGCAAATGCACTGGACCTGCAGCACACAACATGGCCATGAGTCTGGCGACTTACGGTCTGCTGGAGAACCGCATCAGCACACTGGATGCACCGCAGCAGACACACTGGACGAAGAAGTTTCTGGCCAAACGGGAGGCGACACCGCATTCGGCACCGTTCGTTGTCAGCATACAGATGATGACACCGGATCAGGGCCTGGTGCACTACTGTGCCGGCACTGTGATCAACGAGCATTGGATTTTGACTGCAGCCCATTGTCTCAGCTCACCGCAATTGGTGGAAAATTCGGTGATTGTGGCCGGTAGCCACGATATACACAATCGACGCGGCGAGGCGGGAAATGTGCAGGTGCGTCACATCGATTACTATGTGCGCCACGAGCTGTATTTGGGCGGCGTGAATCCCTACGATATTGCGTTGATCTATACCAAGAAACCGCTTGCCTTCGATGAGTATGTGCAGCCGGCAACGATGCCAGAGCAGGATGCTCATCCGGAGGGCTATGGCACGCTATACGGCTGGGGCAACGTTTCAATGACAGCGGTGCCCGACTATCCGCACAAACTGCAACTCGCCAATATGCCCATTTTGGATATGACACTATGCGAGGAGATTCTTGCCCGTTCCGGCTTGGAATTGCACGAGACGAATCTGTGCACAGGCCCACTGACCGGTGGCGTGAGCATCTGCACCGCCGATTCAGGCGGTCCACTTATGCAGGAATGCTGTGAACCGCATTTGCAGCAGAGCAACGTCATCATTGGCATAGTCTCCTGGGGCCGATTGCCCTGCGGCCAGAAGAATGCGCCCTCCGTGTTTGTGCGCGTCTCCGCGTTTACCGACTGGATCAATCAAATTATCAGCACGGCCACACAATTTATGTAGCGAGGAGGATTAACACCACGGAGAGAGATTTTCTGGAACGCAGCTCGAATGTAATAAATCGAAAAAAAAACTATCAAGCCTCACAAAATATCGAGAAAAAAATGACTCGAACCAAACCAAAAAAAAAAAAAAACTAAACTAATCTCAACATTTATTTAGTGATAATTATATACTGCCCCCCGTAAACTAAGCCAACTAAACTTAAGTCGCCAAAATTGTTCCTAATAAAAAACGAATTATTTCTTTTATATAAGGCTTGACAGTCTTTCAATTCAACCAACAGAAATGTGGTAATTGTGAAATTATTTGGAGCTCTACGTTTTGAGTTGTCTGCAGATAAGGTTTATACAATTATAGGGGACACTGTTGCTGTTGCTGAGTCATGCAACTGTCACAAGATTAGCAAAAAAAAATTGGATTCGCGTCCGAATTGAAGAGAAAATCAGAAGATTATTCTACAGATTAGCTGTTGAACTGCTGCTGGGCTTCTTTTGATTGAAGATATTTGGTGTTTTCATTACAGTTGATTGTTCATAAATATTTCAATTGCCATATGATTTGTTATTTAGTTGAAGTTCAGCGGTTATTCACCCAATATTAGATTCCATTGAAATATGATTAATGGCCTAGCTTATTAAAAAAAAGGTGTCCGATATTATTTTCCTTAAGGAAGTGACACTCAATTGTAAAAATTTATAAGATAAATATAAATTTGTGTTTTTTTTTTTTTTTTGTTAATGCAATTAATAAATTCATAACATTAACAGAGATAGTAATTTGATTTATAACTCTATAGAGTTTCCTTTATATATAAAGGATCTGGTCTAGCATAAGTCTATAGCATCCGCTATATGAAACATTGTTATTAGGAAAACTTAAGTTAAACAGACACATTTCATAAGAATAAATATATTTGTAGTCTTATCAGGTGATCCCACTATGGAAAGTTTTTGTCTTGAATGTGAACAGTATGTAAAATATGTTGAAATCGGAGTGTGATCAATTTTTTTCGAATTTTGTTTCCAAGTTATATATCAAATCAAAATCAAACTAGGAAAAATCCCATTTTAATTTCAGGTAGACTCCCTGAATCCAGGTGATAAAGCATTGCTGATATTAAATTGTTCAATTGATTCTTATCCGATCCTAATTAAAGTTCTACGGTTGAACAATAATATTTCAAGGTATTCATATATATGCAAGGCTATATCTTTACAATTGAGTCTTTAATTGCTCTCGGATCTCGATTTGTATAACGGGAGCACCTATCGATCAAATGAAATAAGCTTTATCTGCCTATAGTATAATAAAAATATAAGTAATTTTTCCCAATTGTGTTTGTTGATTCAGATGGCTAAATCGACTCGGTTTTTACGCTGATCAGGTATATATAAACTTTATGTAGTTGAAAATGCTTCTTACAACATTTTCCACAACTTCATTGTACAATTTTAAAAAAATTTCATAAGTTCAGTGTCTGGATCATGACCATTCAGTACAATTATTTACTTAAATATATTTTTACCAAATCATAATGCTAGCAAATTAAACGCTTTACAATGCTTAGAATCATCCACATTCCTCACTTAAGTGCTAATCAAAAATAACGCACTACAATAAAGTATACCTTTAGACACTAAAGAAAACTACTTAAAAGATTAAATATAAATGGCATAAGATTCTTACATAGTTATTAGTTACCAACTGACTGTAGTCCCATGAAATATGATGCTTATTAAAACATAAATATTATATATAATAAATAAATAATAATTATGATATGTATACATAATAAATATGATGAAATTACGACTGACAATTTTTATTGGCGGCTGTCTGAAAATGCCTAATTGATAAGTCATTATGAGACAACACTAATGACCCACTGATAAGGATATTAACCACTTTATAATTTCTTTACTTTTACGTTAAACAAATAAAATATATATTTATGACCATTGCGACGTACTTTCAAAACTCACATATTTTTTGTTGAAATCTAATCATTGGATTGCACTTCGACTACTATATGATTATAATCATATAGACTGTTGTCGACAACTTTTCAGCACGTGATCAATTGAAACGTTCTTTTGAGAATATAAATTTATTTAATGATTTCCATTTCAATGCGTTTCGCAAGTCTCACATCCACAAAAGGGGAAACCTTACTTCTTTTGCGATCTGATTAGTAAATATTTGCAATTCTGTTACTTGTTATCGTGTAATTATAGCCAACATTTTATTGTTGGTTCAGTTATGCATTTCCTTACGTCAAACAATTGATGATGATGTTGTCTGCTTTTCCAGATTGGAAACTTGTTCTAATATTGGAAATGCAATATACGCAGTTAAATACGTAGAAGTCAAAGCGGTGATTATTTGGTAATTAGTTATGAGTCTATCCGTTTAAAATATTAAGAAATTCCATAAAAGGAATTTAGTGCCCAGTTAAAGAACATTTTAATTAGCTGTTTTATTATTTTTTAATAAGTTCAATATACTGATATATTTTTAGGCATGTACATTCTTTATATTGGGAGCGATTGCATTACAGCATGCAATTGCTTCCCGAAATCAAACGCAGTTTTTAATTGCGTTTTACCATAAGGAATTTTTAGTAAGACTTTCGGAGAACTTAATTATTTCATACCCAAGTTAGTATATGCAGCAAATGAATACGATAATGGGATATTAAGACTTTAAGTTATTCATAAATTTAACAATAATCCTGAAAAATAGCGTTCAAAAATCATCTTTGGTACATTTTTTTAAAGTGCAAATTGAGCTGGGCCGAGAAGTTCAAGGCGCATGAAATTTAAAAATGTTGATTTTTCAATTGATTTTGTTAAGATATGAATATATTCATTTTAATACAAATCTGGGCTTTGCTTAGAACAGCAAATCTGTTCGAGAAAACCCCGGCTTGGTTCATAAGGACTGGCGCAGACCAGAAAATTTGCACAACATTTTCTGGAGTGATGAATAGAAGATAAATTTGTTTGGTAAAGAACTGATGGTCAATAACAAACAAAATTCCATATTAAATTAAAACAAAAATGGAGTTAAGAATGGTGAAAGGTTACCATCTTACAAGGGATTTTGCAACATGGAATAAAATTAAAATATGAAACTATTTAGTATTTGAAATAAGAACACTATTAATAATAGTTTATTAAACCAATTAAAGAGTTTTTCAGTGGTTTTCGAAGTGCTTTAGAGAGCTTTCTTCATGCATTGACAACATTGATTCGAGTCTTTTATGAGCACCACAAGTTGGTGTATAAATGCCCCAATTCTCATAACTTTTGTATAATAAAAAGGGAATACAAATCTGCAATGAGAACTTCTAAGGGAAGGCAATTCACAGCCTACGATCCATTCAAGAAACCGTATAGTGGCCTGATTACAATTTTGCCCAAAGTATAAGCTTCATTCTATAGATATATATAATATAATAATGTGTAGAAACAATTAGGTTATTTTCAACTATATTACAAATTTTTGAGTCTAAATGAGGTGTCCAAAATCTAATACAAGATTAATCTCTTAGAATCTGAAATTGATTAATAATGTATGAACAATAAATATATGTATAATAAATTAATAAAGAAAAAAATACTCGACTATTCATCAACTAAATAGCTCCTATATGAACAGTTGTTGTGGCAATAAGGTAATATGTAAAATTTACACAATTGTATTTCTATATTCGATATATATAAATATATATATTTATTTCTATATTTACATATATATATATCTGAGAGAGTATTTCCCGCATACAAAATTTTGTCTCTTGTTTTCAAATGAATACGTACAATGCCTATTCGATGCATACGCACACATATACATATATCACAATAACACACACACACAGATGTAAATTGAACGCAATTCGCCTTTGTTTGGATTTTATTGAAGGCCATTGCACACAAGCAAAATATTCAAATAGTAGACAAGTCGAACATTATTTAATTAATGTACACAAAGTAGCGTCGGCTAATAGAAAATATAACGAAAATTTTGACGAGGTCGACAATCTTTGAAATCGCACTGCAAAACTGACTTGCACGCGTTGCAAAAAGACAACAAATACACGTAAATTGCATGTGTGTACATACATGCACATATATATACATACACATATATACATACATGCCTGCATACATTTAACGCACGCAATACACTCTTACAGCAAAAAGAGAGCACATACACGCACACGCACGCACGAACTCACTCATATGCACGCAGTACTCACCTTCTTACGAAGTTTCCCCCGAATGTGACACAGACGTTTGACGCCATCAAAGCACATTGCCTCCAAGCGACCGTTGCCCAGCATTTTGGTCACCTGTGCGTACTCTTGTTGATCCTCTTTGAAGATCAGTTCACGCTTCTCGAACTCATTTTCATTCTTTCCACGACGACGATTTTTACCACCTTTTCCCTTATTCTTGGGCATTTTGGTTCGATGTTGGTCTAGTGTTGCTGTCTGCTGTGTTGCGCTATGCTTTTGACGTTACGATCGATGATTAAACGATGAATCACTCACTGCACTATGGATTGAGAGTTATTAAAAAATATTTCAAGATTATTTGCACTCGAAATTAAATAAGAAAACTTACAATTTTGCCAACGAAATGTGACAAATTTTGCCTCGCTAAAGTGAAAAGGAGTGAGAGAGCATACTTAGAGATGTTCATATCGATATTTCGATAGCTCGTACGATACATTGAATGAGCAAGTGTGACAAAATACTAAGCATTCTCACTTGACAAGTGGCAGCACATGTATTTGTCAGAACGGTCACATTGCTTACGTTTTGTTAGTAGTTGCTGATAATAATTAAAAACATGCCACCTAAAAAGGACACGAAGGGCACAAAAGATAGCACGAAGGGTGGCAAAAAAACAGCAGCAGATGACAAAGGTGGCTGCTACTTAATGTAAACTGTTTGTAATTGAGCATTTGAATTTTACACAGGTGCCGGCAAAGAGAAGAAGGGCGGCAATGCTGTCAAGGTTCGGCACATTCTCTGCGAGAAGCAGGGCAAGATTATGGAGGCCATGGATAAGTTGAAGGCGGGCCAAAAGTTTCCCGAGGTGGCGACCGCTTACAGCGAGGACAAGGCACGTCAGGGCGGCGATTTGGGCTGGCAAATACGTGGCGCCATGGTCGGTCCCTTCCAGGACGCGGCCTTCGCTCTGCCCATATCCAATGTGAATAATCCAATTTACACGGATCCACCGATTAAAACGAAATTTGGCTACCACATCATCATGGTTGAGGGCAAGAAATGAATACTGAATTTTATAAATCCTATTTATTGTGAGCATATTAAAATAAAAAAATAAATTGTTTTATCTATTTTTTGCCCGAATCCTCTTTGAGTCCCACGGTGCGATTAAAGACAATTCGCTTGTCAGTTGTGTCCGGATCCACCGAGAAGAAACCTATGCGCTCGAACTGGAATTTATCGTAGACCTTGACGCGGTTCAGCGACTCATCCGCGTACGCCTGAACAATCGACATGGAGTTCTCAGCGATGTCGGTGAGGAATCCACCGGGCACTTCGTTGGCATCCTCGGGATTCTTGTGCTTGAACAGTTGCTCATAGAGACGCACTTCCAGCTCAATGGGCTGTGATACCCACTGGACAAATGCCTTTGGCTTCTCAGCCTGCTCAGCTGACTCGCAGCTGCAGATGAGTTCGAGGACCTCATCTGTGGCTGGATCCCGTACAACTTGCTGCACACTAATGACCAGGCCGGCATGACGCAGGCCAACCGATTGCTCACTAGATAGACGCCGATATCCCTTCTCTGGCTGCAGCTTGAAGTCAGTGCGCTCAATGTAGATGACACGTGCTAGAGTTATTTTGTGCATGCCCAGCGCTGGATTCTGTGGAAAGTTGGGCACATCCAGTTCCACAGGCGCCGCATGTGGAAAATTGCTAATGGTCACCCGGAGCGGCTGCAGCACAATCAGTCGACGTGGTGCACTCACATTGAGTACATCCCGCACAGCCGCCTCCAGCATGGCCGGATCAACGGATATTTGTGCACCGGTCACGCCCATTTGGGCGCAGAAATTATTGATTGCCTCCGCCGGATAGCCGCGACGACGCAGCGCAGTTAGCGTAAATAGCCGAGGATCATCCCAGTCGTGAACGATGCGTTCGCCGATCAGCTTGGCAATCTTGCGTTTAGAGACGAGCGCATAGTTCATATTGAGGCGTCCATATTCCCACTGCACCGGACAGTAGATGCCCAGAGCGTTGCAGAGCCAGTAGTAGGAGGAGCGACGCGACTGGAACTCCTTGGTACACAGCGAGTGCGTAATGTCCTCGATAGAGTCGCACAAACAGTGCGTGTAATCGTACGTGGGATAAATGCACCACGAGGCGCCCGTTCGATGATGCGGAATGAACTTAATCCGATACGCAACTGGATCTTGTTTGCCCTCCTCCAGTGTCAGTTTTAAGCGCAGCGTGGCCAGTCCCTCATCGATTTTGCCTCGTTTCATGTCCTCGAACAGCTGCAGGGACTCCTCGATGGGTCGCTCGCGCCATTGACTTGGTGGCGGATTGAAACCCTTCAGTTCATCAGCCTTCTGGTGGCACACATAGGCCAGATTCTTGCGTATGAGAAGCACGGCCCATTCATACAGTTGCTGGAAATTGTCCGAGGAGTGTGTGACCTTTAACGGCTTATAGCCAAGCCACTCGACCATGTCAAGTATGCCCACAAAGAACTTTTCCTCCTCCTTCTCGGGATTGGTGTCGTCGTAGCGCAGATAGCATACACCCTTCTTTGCCGCCGCATAGCCAAAATTGATGTTGATCGCCTTCGCATGGCCAATGTGCAGGATGCCATTTGGCTCGGGGGGAAAACGGGTCTGGACACGTCCGCCCGTCCGCTGCAAATGCTCGCGCAGCAGGCGCTCCGTGTGCTCGGTGACTACATAGCCATCGGTCTTGAAATTCTCACCGGGCGCATGAAAATGAACCTTTGTCTTCATCAACTCAGCGATGGTATTTGCACCATTTTCCCCAACGGCAGTTGACTCGGTCGAGGTGGATGGTTTCACTTCCGGCTTGACCTTGGGCTGCTTGTCCGCTTGCTTAGGCAGTGGCTTCAAATCGTCTTCTGTCTTGGGACCGAGCAGATCAAAGATTTCCACATCGATCGCCGATTTCAAGGATTTGGCATCTGCCCATTTGAGTTCCGCCCGCACTTCCTGCAGGATTTTGAACGCATTGAAATGATAACGCTGCTCCAGCAGTGTCTGCTTGTAGCTGCCCCTAACTTTCTGCTGCACAACGCGCTCGATTTCTTCGGGGCTCACCACAACACCAACGCCGCATTCCCGCTCCAATTCGGCCACATCGACACCGGCACCCTTCTTCTGGCCGCACCGCAATACATATTCCAAGGCGGCATCCACACGCTGTGTGTTGTCCAGCTTGCGTTGCGATATGTAGCGCACCAGCAGCGGCAACTGTTCCCCAATTTGTGGCTTCAGTTTGGTGGCCATGTGGTAGATCAGCACGCCAACTCCATCGGCTAGTGGCTGCTGATTTAGCTCGGCTAGTGCCAGCTGAAGATTGCGTGTCACATTGGCATTCTTCAGCGTCTCCTTGGCCTTTTGCTCGCTCATGCCGAGCTGCTGAAACTTGACAATCAAATCCTCACCAGCCATGTCCTCAAATGATGAAATATACAATTTTCTCTTCTATTTCCCAACACCAAAATCAACACTTGCAGCTGTGGGCACTCTAAAACTGTTATTAACAGCGATTGCTGCGGTAACAATGTGTAATTGGTTTCGATAATTGCAATCGGACGATTGGTACGCTGATTGTTGAAATAGTTGCTCAATTTTTAAAATGTCAAATTTCCATATTTATTTATTAATTATTGATCGAAACTAAATTTCATAAGTGCGAGAATTTTATTTTGATTTTCGTGGCTCGGTAAGCTGATTAGTCGAAATTATCAATGCTATCGATTATTGCACTGCATTCCATTAGTACGCTGATCGTTTAAAATAGTTGGACAATTTTTAATAAGTTAAATTTAAATATTAATTTATTATTTACCTGAAACCCAAGTTACAGCTCTTTTTGTCGCTTTAAAGTATTTATATACGAAATAACTTACACATTTACAATTCCTCCCAATGACGATATCAATAATTTACAAAATTTAGCCGCGAAATATTTGTATTCTTTATGGATATTGTATTCATATGGATACATGTATATTTTAAATTTTATATATTTTTTAAATTCAAAATTGTGTTTGACGTCTCTTTTTTTTGAATGTGCATTCGCATTTAACTCATGTGTATTGAGAATTTCACATTACCCACGCCGTTATACTTCGTATCGATCTCAATATTTTTCGCCCAAGTCGTGCAAATGAAACTAACATCCTGCTTTTGAGGTAAGTCACGGAGCTGCATGGCAATAACACGACTGATGCCATCCAAACCGTTTGTTGTATCAAAGTATGGTCCAGGAAAATATTTGATTTCGGTCGATTTGCCATTAGTGATATCGCATGTCATCCAAATACGACCGCTGCCCGAATAATTCTCTAGTATCGTTGTCAAACTGCCTGGTGAATCGGACGGCAATTCATCAACGTCCTCATAGGTTTCTGGCTTGTATCCAATCACTTTATTTATCTTGATGAAAACGCACGGTATTCGGGCTTCGTAGCCCCAGACTTTGTCTCTGTTGCAGTCGGCGAATTGAGCTTCAGCATCTGGATCCAATTTGAATAGGAATTCATCTATCTGATCAGCAAGGGGATAAACATCTTTCTGGAGGTTCGCATGAAAGGAAATAATTCTATTTACACAAGCAGGCACAACAGAAACGCCGGGTTGCTTTTTGCGGCAAACTGGTGTTATTGGATCATAGGTGCTGAAATAGAAAACCGTTACCCAAAGGCACATAATTACTGTAATGATGCAATATAAAAATAGATAAAATAAAACTATTCTAGTCCAGCCCCAGAGTGTACGTCCGAAGAACTGATTGCGATCCAAGTCCAATATTTTTTTTGACCATGGCATATCCTTTGCCTTTCTTGTCTGGCCCTCATTTCGAAATTGCTTCCGCACATTGTACTCCCCAGCGGCAACCACAAAATCTTGCGGCATTTTCAATTTTCAAAATATCCGATATTCGTTTTTCTATATAATACGTATGCGTTTATTAAATACTAACTAATACTAAAATGCCTCCCAAGCTTTCAAATTTAACATGCTTGAAATTTAAAACAAAAGCATTTGTATTCATATATATATTCTCTTAATAGTCATCATCTGGATCGGGATTAGGAAAAACTTCAAGTCCTTTTAAATGGAATACAAGATATATCGACCCGACACCCATAGGAATATTTTTCGCCCATGCAACGCACTTAACGGTTATATCTCGATTCATGGGAAGATTTCGAAATTGGACGCCAACAACGCGACGATATGCTGGATTCTCATACGATTGTTTTGCAGTCATATTTTCCGATATATATTGTAAATATACATATTCCTTTTCAAATAAGCCATCGGTATCATAATAACGATTCGGTATATATTCAATTCTCGCATCAGTTATATTATCCATAAAGCTACAGCCAACCCAAATGCGATAGGTTCGCTGCTCCAGCGACAACTGTAGTATATAATCGTATAGATCGTTGGGCACCTCCTTTGGCAGTGAGAATGTATCGCTATATGTTATCGGAGTAAAGTTGTGGGCAAAATTCAGCTTTAGCAGAACGCACGGCAGGCCAGTATTGTAACCCCAGTTATTATCTAAATTACATGCTCTCAAGTGGCGAATGCCATCGTTGCCATATTTTTCAACAAATTTGTAGATTTGTTGGACATACGGCGTAATGCCCAGCCTCTGATCTGGCGTATATCGTATCATTTTCCTGCTACCCACAAAATTTCCCGGCACCGATGAGAGACTTGTGCACCTCGGTTCATGGGGCTGATTTTCGGGCACCCGAAGATTGAAAACAATTGCAAAATTACAAATCAATACGATGGCAATGCACACATATAGCGCCAAATAAAATCCGATCAATTTAAGCAATCGCATCAGCGAATTCTTTGGATTTGGTCCACGCACTCGATCATTCCAACTGTGAGCGTGTTCTTCATGGCGCTGCTGCACTCGTCGAAATTTTTTAGTTATTTTGTAGGCACCTTTGGTTATAATTAACTCGTTTGGCATATTCTTGTATCGATTTTACTTATATATATATGTATATATGTGTGCTTTGATCTAAAAACTTTACATTTCTTTCAATGTGCTGTTCTGTTATGAATTATTGAATAAAGTCCTGCCTGGAATTATGTGGAAGAATGCGATAGATTCAAATCAATTAATTTACTAAATATTAAAGTTTGATTTAGAGTTAATCAAATGCAATGAATTCTAAATTTGTAATTTGCCTTATCTTTTAATGTGCGAATGTAGGGAATGAATTATTATTAATTATAATCTAAAAGTTTTTACCGCAATTATACCTTTTATAAAACCAGACATGTTAAATAAGATTGGCAGCACTGTTTATAAAACGATCGCAGGATGGTTTTGAAAATGGAAATTATCAGCCATTCGACACTTATCGATAGATTGAAGAAGCGACGCTGTGTGCTGCAATGTTAATAAAATTTGTGCAAATGTTAAAGTATTTCAGCGCGAACAGCTGTGCACACAGCAGCAAGTGTTGATAAGCAACGGATGAAAGAAAACAGCAACTGGCTAAGATTGGTTTCTTAACTAAATATTGTGAAGTTGAAATATAATACGATCGACATGAACGCTCCACCTTTGAATAAAATTCCTGGCACATCACAAGCCAAGCAACAAAATAGCAAAGACCTTAAAACACTGAGCTACCATGAACTGCTCGAAATTAAAGACAGGCAAAGCCATCTTTTGGCGTCCAAGTAAGTCTCCAATCTTCGTTTATCTGCAAGCAATGCGCTATTATTCTTGTTGCTCTGTCTTAACACAGAAATCGATTACAAATGCTACCAGACAAGGGAAGGCGCATACGGGAGTCGTACGAAAAATTGCTGGCCGAGATTCACAGTCGAGACGAAGTGGAGGCAACCGCCAAGCTTCTTGGCGAGCTGAACATTGCGTCCAAGGGCAAAATAACGCTAAACAATCTGGAGTGGCAAGGTCGCACTTCTGATCCCGACTCAAACGCGTCCGATCTGTTGGACAGCGACGATGAGCAGGAAATGGATCCGTTACGCGTTATCGCCCAGGGCTCATTACATCAGCGTCAGGTTAAAATCTTACCGCCGCACGCTACTCTTATCACACACGAAGATCTGGCCGAGATTGAGTCATTTAGGCTCGATTCATTGGATTCGTTTAGGACCGATCAGAGCGCATCGAGTAGCTGCAGTGGACAGGCGGATGGCAGCAATGCGGTCGCAGCTGAAATAATCGAAATTGATGTTGTCACATTGGTTGGCAAGCCCCCGGCAACGATGCTGGAACAACATGCATTGTATCTCATTGAGAAAACCGAATTGCAAGCAACGGCTACAGAGCGAGAAAAATTCAAACCATTTCGAACAACAGTGTCCAATGTGCACGATCCTGCCAAGGAGCGTACGCGTAAAAAGGGCAAGCATTGGGAAAACACAGCCGCAACGCCGCCACTCATACAACACAAGCAGATTCAGCTGGTACCGCTGGCTGAATCAACTAGCCTGCAGCTCGACTACATGCAGCGAGTGAAGGTAAGCGCTGGTATATGATCAGTTATTTGCCTATATCTAAATAAACATCTACTGGGTTTCCAGGAGTTACGCATTAAGCAGGCGGAGCAGCGATTAGCTCGACAAACGGGCATGCGCCTGCCTGAGGACTTCGTACTGAAGAGCAAGGCTTCATTTCAAAAGTATCGCAATCCACAGGTGGATTATCTAATTGAGGGCAAGCGAAGTGCCAGCGAAGATAGTGAAGTCATTGATCCGACGATAGCCCAGAAAATCACCACTGGAATTAGCTATTCAGTTTATGAGTGATATTTATTCAATTTTGAAGCCAATCAGCAATTAAACTACACAAATTTAAATTAAAAATAATGCTACATTTATATATTCTCAGTAATGGTTTATGAATTTAGCAGATTCATTATCTTATTTCTGCGTAAAGATTAATATATTTATAATCACTATATAACATTAACTTCATAACTTTTTTCCTCATTGTGCTAACAATCATATTTACCAAACTTTATTTAGAGGTAATTACTAATAGAAATATTGGATAAACCGGACTTAGATCGAGTAAAACTGTGTTGCCGTTGAGGCTTGCAACTCAATTTGGCCCATTTTGAATTGCAAACGTTGCAACCACTTGAGCAGCGCCTCCGATTTGTGGGTCTGCTGCTCCTCAAAATCCGGCGCGTAATCACGTACATTCTGCAGTCGTACGTGCAACGTATCCGACAGCTGTGTTTGTGAGGAGAGCACCGTGCTCCACATGGGCAACAATTTGCCCAGCACCGTTGAGTTTGTCTCCTTGAGGGCTTCCAGCAAACTGAGGAAGTGCAAGTTAACCATCTCCGACAGCTTCGAGTTGACACTCTGCGTTTGAAAGTCAACGCTCGGCTGCGCATGCAGCTCCTTGTTGGCCGGCCTGCCATGCGACACCAGCTGGAGTATGCATGGTGTTACCTTCGTCCAAAACTCAAAAAGCACCCCGAGTGTGCTACCTTCGGCATTGCTGCTGGTGTTGTGCGCCATCTGCTCCAAGTAGACGGTCCACAGTTGGCACAGTGTGAACGCATGGAACAGCGATGACATGTGCAGCACCGAGGTCTTCGACTGCTCGGCAAAACCCGCAAAGATCACTTGTATGTGATCGGCAATGTGACAGGATGCCTCCTGCGGCACAGGCTGCGAGTATGTGACTCCCGTATGCTGATAATGCACCGTGGCCACCTGCGGTTGTCCTTGCGCAGGTGCAGCATTCGCTCCCGGTGGTGGTGGCAGAGACTGCGTCTCTTGGCGTCGCTGCATCAGTGCCATGTGGGTAAGGGAGCCGAGCAGTAGCCACGACAGCAGGCGCATGTGGCCCACACATTCCGTGAACTCCTTGGGACTGTTAAAGAAGTCAATGGATTATTTTGTCTCAAGGCAAAATGATTACTAAATATATAAAAAAAAACCTTGTTAAATTGCTTCCATAAATGGAAAATCAAAGTTAACACAGCTTGGGTTCCAAGCAATCTATTTCATTACGACAAAATCTTGAAAATAATAGAAATATTTTGGGGTTATTTTAGACAAAAAAGTCCTCTTTAGGGACCATGCTACTAATAGCCTTGATATTGTAGATACCCATATCAGAATTTTATATCCCTTTATAAAGAGAATAAACTATATCTCTTTAGGTCTAATAATTTTGGTGTGGCCCCTGTTTGGGTTGATGTTCGCTTTCTAGCTAATAAATTTCAAATCGCTCCAAATAAGGGAAGGAAACAGATTTTTAAATCTGCGTTGGAGTCATTCATTGCAGAAGAGCAATTTTTAAAATGATAGAGGATAGGCTCGAAAAGTTTGTCCAGATATTTTATAACAGATATTAATTAATAAGATTCATAAATCATAGCTTTAAGTTTTAAGACAATCAATCAGTTGGGTTGTGAAAAGAGTGTCACACCACTGAAAATGTAAATATAATATTTATAACAACATCCACCTCAATTAATAATTAAGTTGAAAAGGATGCACAAGTCTGAATAAGAGTTCATTAGAAATAAGAACTACACATTTACATGTAATACAAATTTTAATTTAAGGGAAATATTTTCAGCATGAATATATTTTTACTTACCCCTGCTGGAGTGAGGAGGGAGCATTGTTCAGCCAGGGAAGATAGCGCGACACTGCCTTGTTATCGCGATTGTTGCCCCGCGACATCTCCAGTGCCAGATATTGGGCTACAGCGCCCTTGAGAACGCCACCCAAGGTGTCCTCGCCTAGTCCAGTGCTTGGCTGACCATTCTTAAAATTCTGCAAAGGATGGCGTCGGTCTTTTTAATCAGCAATTATTATACAAGTGTACCACGAACTCACCTTGATCTTGCTGAGCGTGTGGAAATCGGCCAGAAAATCGATGACATCGTTAATATACTGCCTCAAACAGTCGGCCGCATTTGTGGTCAAGACGGGCGCTGCATCTGGCAGACCAGGTAATGCACCGGGGGGCAGGGTGCCTCCCGCATCGAGGAGCACGAATCCAATGATCATTAGCAGATTGTGATCGGGTATATTCGACTTAAATTTGAGCGCTTGTACAAACTCAAAGATCATCTGGCGACAAAGTAAATTCTTGTCGCGGTCCTTGCTGAAAGAGCGTGTATTAAGCGTGCACAAATCGTAGAGTGTCTGGTATTCCAGATTCGTGTGCTGCACACAGTACGCCATAATCTTTGAGTATGGATCGAGCAGCGTTTTGGGCACACAATTTAGACGCAGTGTGGCCGCTATCAAATCCAGCATATACTCGGCATTACTCAAACTGGGCATAATGACAATGACCTGGCGTAGCAGGGACTCCATCGCCTGCATGGCTTGGGACCAGACGGCAAGACCGACACCAGCCTCCGTGGGCATGCACTGCAGATACTCGGCCATGTTTCGGAAGATGATGGGCAGCTGTTCGATGGGCAGCGCCTTCTTTGAGGTCAGTGATTCGCAGACCATATAAATGGGACTTGTTGCATTCAGATCCTGGAAATCTTGCAGGGCCTTAGCAATGCTCCGGAAATGATTGTGACGAACTTTAACTGTGGACAGAAGAGAGAGAGAGAGAGAGATAGATGTTATCAAAATATTTCTTATTTTGTATCGATTATTTGTGGCCAACTTACTCTTCATTTGGGTTTGGAAAACCTGCAGAAATATGCCATTGGGCGCCAGCTGGTGCAGAACACAACGTATGAATTGCAGGGCCACGGCCTGGGCGCTACTAGCCAAGGGCAGACCATTTTCACCTTGCCACGCATGAGTGCTGCTCAAACAAATTCTGCAAACAGTATAAATATAGTTACCAATGCTAAAGGTTTCGCTTCACATTCCACTCACCGCGAAGTCATGGTGAGCACCTCGGGCAGAAAGGGTGCTGCAATGGCCGGTTCGCGGTGAATAAAGGTGCCCAGGATAACAATGAATATGCCAATCTCTTCATCCGTGTACTCCTCGATGACAGCACCACAATCCGAGCAGCGTTCCACAATGGTGTAGTCACCGACTCGTCGAGAACTCTATGTTAAAGAAAAGGCATCCATATTATTTTAAATCATTAGTGTTATTGTGCTATTATTGATTTATTTTACACTTAAATATTAACTTTGGTATAAATAACCCGAATTTATCTAATATATAGAATTTTAAAGTTAACACTTCTTTAAAATTATGTCTCATTAAATAAAAGCGTTAAAATTTCTAACGACATTTTTTTAAAATTAAAAGATTATAAAAATAGTCTAGTCTAGGCAGCTTTTCTTAGAGATTTCTTTTGACAATAGATCTTACTCTCGCTGAGCTTGAGCCCTAATAATAATAAAAATGTGAACTAAAAGCAGTCCATAATTTTTAAAAGGTTTTGAAATTTATAATAAACCAAAACACTATAAATATGTTGAATATTTAGGGGAAAATTTGAAAAAATCCAATCAGAGTAAAAAACGCTGATAGTTTATTCCCTGAATCCAAGTTTAAAAATTTTAGGCAATATATTTTTTTAAATCTAATTTAAAATTTAAATTTAAGTTACAAGTTAAATTATATAAAATGAAAAGTGAATAAATAAATGAAGATTTATAATATAAAACAAAAAACCTTTAAACATTAAGCAGAAATGATTTAACGCTAATAGCTTATTCCCTGAATAAAATTGTTGTTTCTTATCCGATCTTAATGAAATTATATCAATAATATGTCTTGGTATATTGTCTATGAATTACAAGGCTATATTTTTACAGTTATCGACAAAATGAAATATATTTGGTATGCCTATGGTACACGGGAGCTTATACTAATAAGGCAGATAGAAGGACGATGCAAATCGATTAGACTTTTGTTAGCCCCGATCGAGAAGAAATACACCTTACGGAGTCGGAGTCGATTTCTTCAACCTGTAACATACTTATCTTACTTACTTATCGATTTCATCAACCTGTAACAGACTAATCTATATTATACCCTTTTGACAAATTTGTAGTGGGTATAAAAAGTGAATTAAGTTCTAAATAATAAGATTCTACACCGCCAATCTTCTTGGTAGCTTATATTTGATAGCTTATTTGTTTGATCTGTGTATTGATCATATCTCAAGCCATATTAAAAGTTATGTGGGACCACATGCGTCTGTCAGAGAGTTCAGATTTCGTACTCACCCCACGTGGCGCATGGGCGTGTGTAGTGTGCGTTGTGTGCCCATTTGCGATATCGGGTGAATCTTCCCCATTTTCGTCATGCTCCTCGGCTGGCTGAAATGGTGGCGGCGGCCAGGAACCGGCGAAACGCGATCGTATGTCTGGTATGGCATTGGAGTCAACGTTAAATGGCGCCAGCTTTTGTCTCGGACGCTTAATGCTATTGGATGTGGTCGAGGGACCCGCCATATTCTGCTGGCGCTGACTGGGCAGCTGCTTTAGATCCTGGGTGACATTCTTTAAAATGGATGTGTGTAGGTCTTGTGGAGGCTGCGACTGCATCTGCGACTGCATCTGCGACTGTGGTTTAGCTTGTACTGCTGTAGTTGCTGTCATTGTTACAGGAGCGGTTGCGGGTGCATTTGGATTGGGCGGCGATTCGAGGGCCACCTGTTTGATGAGGCGTCGAGGCGAGTTGTTGCGACTGTTGGGCGTTACATCGTCTTTGGTGCTCTCGGACATATCCAAGCTGTCCTGCTTCAGGTGACTGATATCCGGCAAATTGAGGCCGTCGCGTACACGCTCCACCAGTGCGGCTACCGTGTCCTGTGTGCCAATAGGCAGCAGCCGCTCCGGCGTTGGAATCTCTAGCGCTGCAATGTTCTTCGGAGGTGGCAAGAGACTGGCGTCAACTTCATCACACGGATTGGGCATAACGCTCATCTTGGACAGCGGTGAATCAGGAGAGCCATATGACGTGTCCGTGCGTTTCAGAGACTTGGTGTGCGACTTCTTCTGACGCGCCTCATCTGCCGAAGAGCTGGACGTGCCGGCACTGCATTCCACAATAGTCTTATGGCGTCCAATTGGCTTCACAACTCCAACCGTTGCCGGTGCGCTGGACGCTGGAGCGACACTGCTGCCGTTTATGGAACGACTGCCGCTGCCACTGCTGGAGCCGTGCTTACAGCTTCCTGTCGGCACGTCCTGCAGAGCACCCAGCGCTTTCAGATGATTGGTGGCAATTGCCGCAAACATTTTCGATGTGGACGCAGCTGCATTCTCCAGCGACTTGTTGCGCACGGTCACTGCACGATGCACATCTACGGGCGGACTGACAATGGCTGTCTCCGTTGTCTCCGAGCCCACCAACGGAGTCACAATCATACGCACTCCTTCCTGCAGACTGTGACGGGTGTGGGTGGTCACCACGGTGGTGCTGACGGATTCACTGGTGTGTTTAATTTTTGTGGAGTATGTGTCACCCGTTTTGGTGGTTATCATCGACTTGTGCAATTTTGTAGATTTCTGCATTTGATTGAAATTGATAAGTAAAATATAAGAATGCTGTAGTCGACTACGATATACTCTGAACCCAGCTGTTATTTATATTTTAGTTTGATTGCCAAATTTCCCCTTTTGCACACTCAAAGTTAAGCAGCAAGTGCTCTCATTTCTTAAGGCAGGCTAAAATGAAGCTAATTGAATAAATAATTAACAGTACACACTTGCTATAACTTTCATATCCGAGCTTTATGGGGGCAGCTATTGGGCAATTATTATATATGTCAATGTATATTTTAAATTAATTAGAAGTCTCTGACTTTAAAATTGTGGCATTTATTGCTATCCGAAATCAATATTTACTGAAATTCGCTAAAGTGTAAAGTTATTATCTGTCTCTGTTTAAGAACAAATATACTTTATTGGGTCGGAGGTGCTTCTTGCCTGTTACATACATTTTCACAAAGCCATCATGCCCTTTTGTTCAGGGTATAAACATATATTTCAGAAGCTTTTGAATGGCATTTACCTCTTCGGAATATTCCATGGGACGGCGATTCCGCAGCGATTCTATTTTTGTTGGCAGTACGTCTTCAAAATGTATGGTGTCATCAAAAGAGCCCTATAAACAAAAAAAAAAAAAAATTATTTTTACGACATTACGAGTATTGTTTTTAAGCAAATCATCTAAAATTAATTTCAAAATCTCTCTCCTAAAGCAAAGTATTTTCGTCCTTTTTATAATAGGTGAAAATAATATTTCCCATTATGATATTTATTAAAATATTATAAAGATAATCTTACCGGTGCGCTGCTGCCGTGTAGTGTGCTGTCTGAGAGATCACTTTCGGGTATGGCCACCAGTTCGGATTCGGTTTCATCTGCATCCAAACTGGAGTCGTTGTACTTGCGAAAGGCGTGTTGCAGCTTGGGTGTGAAGGCGACATTTTGACCTTTACTCTTGGAGGCGGCGCTGGTGCCCTCGGATGGAAACATGGGGCTGGCCGGCGGACTGGCCTCCTTGTCATCGGGATCTGTACCCAGCGAGGGCTGGCTAACATCACGTGAACGGGCTACGCCGCCAACGCCGCCATGTATATCCAGTATGGTGGTGGTAGGAATGCGTCGGCACTGATGGAAATGACCACGGAGGCTGTTCATGATCATGCGAATGGCCGAGATGATATATCCACTGAGCGGTGGCTGTGTGTAGGAGTACTTATAGAGGACGACGAGCAGCGTGAAGAGCCAATTGCGACGCGGATACTGCTCCAGATTCCACAATGAGTAATTAAAGACAATATTCTGATAGGATTCACCCGAAGTGTTTGTGGGATTGGGTGCATACAGAATGATCTGCATGACAGACGGCAATATGAGACCTCCAATCAGATGATTCTGGTCCAAGACTTGTGGTAAATTTGCTAAAAAAGCATTAAAAACGGCTGAAATGCTGTCAAGAGTTAAAAAGAGTTTTATTATTTCATTTATATTTTTTTTATTTAGTGTCGAATAATATCAGTAGACACAAAAAAAAAAACGAACAGTAAAAAACAAATTAAAAATATAATCGAAAATTTAAATTTAAAAAAATATTCCTTTTTTTAATATTAATAGTTCGATATCGTAACTCACCGCAATGAATCGGGTGTGGTGTGGAATGTCTTGTCGATTTGATTGTGACCCAATAGTAAAAACAGATGCTTTAATACAATATTTTGTGTCCGGGTGACGGGCTTATCTTCGGATGGAAAGGCCTGATCTGTTCGGGACATGAACTGCATCAGCATAAAGACAAGCAAATGAATTGTCTCCCGGTCCGATTCCTCCAGCTCCGTAATACGGCTGAGCAGGCCGATAAGATTGTCGTCGTTTAGACCACCCAGTGAGTGGATATGTCCATCTAAATGGAATTTAATAATATTTCAAATCAGATCAAATGTATTTTTCTAATTATACAGTTAAGGAATGAACATCGATTTCGTAATATTTTTTGTTGTACAGCCACATGCCAATTGCACAAATAGATTGAAGTTTTTATATATAACATGGTGTATATGAACGTTTCAATATATACACAAGTGTTACAGTTCGAAAATTGTCTGTTGAGTTGTTGTACATTAAGTTTACAATAGTTCTTGAGAGCATACATACCAGTTCGGAAGGGTACACGTAAGATGATTTTGTTTTGTGTGGAAGCCAAAGTTACATACACATTTCTATAAATACTGATATGCTAAGAACAAATTTAACGTCCAACATTTACACATTTAAAATTGAAAGTTTATTATTAAATAAACAAACGTAATATTTTCTAAGTGACAAAATGTTAACATAAACTTAAAGCTAAAAGCGCTTAATGAATTGAAACGTAAACATTTTAAAATTAAATGATTGATTTAGAAATTACTTAAAAAAATAAATAAAATAAAATTTAAGAAAATTATGAATAATCGAATTAAATAAAAATATAAATAAAATAAAAATAGATATAATAAGCAAACAAAATATAAATAAAATAATTAAATAAAATTGACAAACTGAAACTTCGAATGTTAAGAATGATATTTGTTTAATAAAATGTATAGAAAATTATTGAATCAATTACTTTTTAAAATTGTGATATTATGTCTTCCTGAGATCATAACAAATTTTTATACACTAAATAAGACAGGACAATAGATATTTAATATAAAATTCAAAACAAGTCTAACTGATGTCCGGGATACAACTTAGAATATGTGTATGCTAAATAAGTTCAATAATGCAACACTTAAAAAATTTGTATGTTAGTGAGGTTTTTTTCTTTTAGTTGCTATGAAAATAATTATTCCTGCGCTTTTTTCTATCGCTTCTGAAATTGAAATTAAAATAAAAATTTGGTTTAAATTCAAAATTTTAATAGATCCCAGAAACTAAAGATGTAAAATTTAAAAAAGTTTTATACAACATACAAACCACATAGAAAACTATAAATGATAATGATGCCCCATTCTAAATGTTTCATGACTGAAAAGATCTGAAAGATGCTCACATAAAAAAAGTAAAAGCAACATTAAAAACGTTGGCAAGCCAACGTTAATCATTATATTATTCACAAAGTGTCTGAAAATACTGATAAATTTTCATGATTTATTGAACGATACCAGTTTTATCGATTTCTATTTGGAATCAATAAAATGACAGAAAATGTTCCTATTGAAATAAAATATAGTCAGATACAATTTCATAAATTTTGTGAACTATACAATCTACATAGAACATATAGCTCATATAGCTTGGCGGAAAAAAGAGAGGGAGGGACAACACAGACAGCAAATTTGATTTGTTGATTTCTTGATAAGTGGACACACATGCTCTACAACCTACCTGGATTGGCCGTGGTGCTGCCCGTGGTGCCAGCAATGTTGACACCGGAATGCGGTGCGACATCACATGTGCAATGCATGGGAAAGGCCAGTGCCGAGGGACTGGGACTGGGTGCGACCACAGCGGGCTGAGACGGCAGCAAATTTGGCGCCGAGGGATGCTTTTGGAAATGGGAGTGAAACGAGGTGGCAAAGGTGGGACCCGCAGTGGCGCTGGTCGTAGCCGATATTGTTGTTGTTGTTGTTGTTGTTATTGCTGCAGTTGTTGTTGCTGGTGCTGGGGCTGGGGCACGGAACTGCTCGGCGATCGTTTGGTGCGACGCTGTTGTCGTTGGTGGGTGCTGAAACGGCTGCTGTGCAGCCTGGAAGCGAAGCATTGTCTCGGCTTCCTGCAGCGTTGGCATTGGACTATGGTGACTAGGCGGTACACAATGCACTAAATACTGGTGACTTTGACTATGAGCCGAGGCAAACGTCGCTACTTGTGCACTACTACCAGTATAATGTTGGTGAGTGTGTGGATGGTGTTGGTATTGGTATTGGTGTGATGGGTGTGCGTGTTGCTGATGTTGGGTGGGTTGATGGGGAACTTGTTGGTGTACGGGACAGGGTGTTGTTACTTTCGATTTTGTATGCAATGTATTACTACTGGTGGCGACACTATGGTTGGCTGAATTTTGGTTGGCACTACTACCAGTGCCAAGGAACTGACCCAATCCAAAACGCGAAGTCTTCCGCTTGAGTATGGGTGCCGACACCTGACGATTATAGATTTTCTCCTTCTCGGGCACTGCAAATTGAAATTGTAAATAAATACTCTTGAGGGATTCAATTGGTAGAGCTTACCGAACTTGGAGTCCTGACGGGGCGCCATGCTGGCTGGAGCGGACATGGTTCTCTTGTAGGGCCACTTGGTACCAAAGGAGGCGCTGAGGGTTTTGGCCATGCTGCCAGTAGTGTCTGATTGGCTGAGTGCCTCTCTGGCCTTTAGTATTTTGGCCGAGAGCGCCTCGCTACCATTGTCGGAGTTGCGCAGATCTCGGAGATAAGAAATGTCTCCGCACTTTTCCAGATTGATTTGCGCTTCCACGAAGAGTGTATCGAAGCGATTGAGAAAGAACTCCCAGCCGAGCATCTTGCGATCCGATAGGGAGTTGTGCAGCTGATAGACAGATTGAAGCACCACCGGCCGATCGACAATAAAAAGATCGAATTGCGACTCCAAGCAGAAGAGCAGTGACCGTATTGCCGTATCATGTATGGTTCCGATATAGAGAGTTGCCCGCTGCGCCACATACACATTGATGTCATCCATGCTGGCGATCAGATGACAGAAGGCGGTAGCCAATGCCGTTTGCAGACCCACCTCAGAGCGCAGCGGTGTCGAATCCATAAAACGTGTAATCACGGTTACTCGTTCTACTGCCGTGAACCGAACACGCCAATCGACATCGTGGAAGGCTTCCTGCACCACTCGCCAGAACACATCGGAGCCCAGTGGCAATGTGATGCAGTGCAGCAGCAGTGGCACACACACCTGACAGATGTGTGAGTGCTCCGCATTGCACAGCTCCCAAAGACTGTGTAGATAAAGAGTGAACAAATGAATCGATTTACTCATGCAAAAGTGTGCGTCATTCACCAACTTTTTGATCAACAAATTCTCCTGGCACCATATGAAGAAGCCTCGTTGTTCCCGAGCTGCTTTGGCTAAAGCATCGCCGTGCAGCGCCATTGTCTTGAGGCATTGCAGTACATAATAGAGTATCTCGGGTTTTTTAATTGTGGGTATTTCCTGCAGAAAAGTTTGGTTAATAGTATACCAGAATACTTTGATTTACATCCTCTATATTAAGGTGTTCTCGATTTACGTTGTCGAAAAAATTGACAGAGTCTTTTATATTAACCGAACATTTTTTTTTACCGTTGCTTGTATCTAAATATTTTATTTTAATTTTGTTGAAAATGTGACTAAGAATTTAAATAAAATATCAGACGTTCCATAAGAGTCATTTTGGTCATAAAGATTAAATTGAATAAGCTATTATTTAGGATTGGAAATTCTCTCAAAATGCTTTTAGACAGGCAAAACAATACAAATTATCTGTCATTCCGTTCACACATCAAAGCAAACCTGCCTCCATTCAATTGTCAGACTAACTCTATCGAACTCAGGTGTTCCTCAGGCTGGTACCTCAAAATAACTCCTGAGACCACCTTTTATAATTAAGTAAGCCTGACTGAAAACATGACTTCACTGAAAACACTTAAAGTTAGCTATCTAGCTATATTGAAATTATTTCATAGAGGATATTATTTTTTTTTAATAATCGTACCCATTGTTTATATTTTAGAATCAATTAATTAAAAAGAGGTCAATGGTTAATATTTTCGATTTTCATTTGAATGTTTGATAATAATTAATTAGTGGTCATGTACAGTACAAGCATAAATCGTTGGTCTGTTCCTTGAAGGTGTTTTTGAGTGAAATTACATTCATTTTGATGGAGACTTAATTTATTGGAGGTGATTAAAAGTGTGGTGTGACAGGAGGAGAATTTTCTTTAGGAAGGTTAATTATTGAGTAAAATGCTTCCAGCCGGTATTGTAATTTATCGAGCTGTTTGCTTCAAATTAAATGAATTATGTCCGTGACCGGATGAAAATGACAAAGGATGAAAATGACAAAGTTTATCTTTTCAACCATAAGAAAAAGTACAGAACTAGTGTTCAGCTAGTTCAACTCTAAAGGAAACTATTACTACTACTAATCAGTCCGCAAATAGTTGTATGCACATGTACATATACATCTGTTAATATAGATATGTATTTAGATTACTTATACGTACCGTGAGCAACTGGTGTATATACTGCAGCGGCTGGGGCAGCTGATCTAGGGTAAACTTGAACTTGCCTACCGAAGTGTGCCAGAAATCATCGCTATCCTCTTCCTCTTCCTCGTCGTCAGATCCGCTGCCATTCTCGCCGCCAGCAGCTGTGCTGCCATTGGCACCATTCTCACCCATCACGGATGCCTTGGTCACGCTGACATTAGCACTTCCCACATCCGCATCTGATAGTGTTATGGAGCGTGCTATGGCCCTGTCCGTGGGTAGGATAGAGGCCAGATCCAGTTGCTCTGAAACTGTTTCTACTGTGGCCGTCATGATCTGCATTTAGATAGTAAAGTATTCAAAATTGAGGTGAAGCATCTTTCTAATATTGGATACAGCTTTGCAGTACGTAGTATACATATTTACACTGTATTTTAGATTAAGTGGCTGTACGTTAGATTACATTCATCACATAAAGTACACATGTACATAGAGAAATGCAACGTTGATCGCTTAAACTTACACATCCATTTAATGTTTTTTTTTTTCGGTTTTGTTAAAAAATAGTTATAGTTTACATAAATGATTACACAAGAACATGTAAAATTGCACTAAGTCGTTAAGGTACAAGTATTTGTGCATTAAGGGTATTTTGTACATTTTTTAACTGCTTGGTGTTGGTATTAAGAAAATGTGACGGTGCTGATACACTGAGCATGCTCTTCAACAATGGCCATTAATCAAAGAAAAAAGTTTTTTAAAGTACGTATAAATAGATTGTTAAAATTAACGTAATATTTACATGTTAAAATTGATGGAAAATTGAGAATTATATAAATAAAATGTACATTTATTAACAAATTATCGATTACAATTTTTCCGTTTGCTGTGTTTCATAATTTACTTTCACACACATACAAGATACTTTGAGACACGGGAGTGAAAAGATACTTGAAAAATATAATTAATTAATCTATGTATTATTTAAAGCTATGCAGTCGCCTAAGAAAATTTGTTTCGTAGCCTAATAGAAAAATCTAAAACACATAATTGTCTATATATATAATATAATATATAAATATATATATATATATATATATATATATATAATGTGGCGTATAAATATGTATGCCAGCAAAAATTCTATTTGTGATCTTAAAAAGTGTTCTATGAACAATACGTGTGGTTCTTTTTCTAAGTGCCTTTCTTTCTCTAAGTGAAAAAACAAATTCTATCCGATTGTATTAAAAAAACAGTTTTTTTTATTAATTGTAAATATATTTAAAAATTTAAACTATGCCCTATTAATTGTCTACGAAAAATTTAACACTGTGTATTTTTAAAGCACTGTAAATAATTAAGTAATTATTTTGAAGCCTAGTGCAGTTAAAAATAAAATACTAAGAAACTTTACAAAAACAGCAAAGCTTTTTTTTCTTATATTTGAGTGGCTTATAGAAAATAAGATTGATGTTTTATTTGTAGAAAATTTTGTAAACATCACACTAAATGTTTTTTTTTTTTTATTTTTTTTTTTTTTTTTATATTGACATATGTGTAAATAAAATAACTGATAATAATGTAGGAAGAATTTTTGTAATCAAAGCAATAAGGAGAAACACGCTGTACAATTTTATATACATTTAACATGGAGAGTACACTTTTCTGGACATCAAAAGAATATATTAAAAATCGAATTATACAAATATCGAATTGTATGAAGGGTTTTTAATCAGCCAAATAATAAAACTAATATTTAAAGTATTGCTTGTTTGATTTTTGAATTTAATTTGGATTGTGTTAATGAATGCACAAAGTACCTCGTCTGTGGCGTGAACTTTTCTCAATTCATTACTATCAACTGAATGCCCATTTTCGTTATTCTATAAAAAATATATGAAGAAATGAAAAGTTTTGTATAATTTTTGAACGGTTTTGAATTTCGAAATGAAAAGATTCAATTCTTAATTCGATTGTCAAAGAAAATATAATAATGTTTGCGTAAGTTAACGAAATCTTCAGTTTTAATTGGAATTATATTGTTGCTGTAATAAATTAATTATAAATATTCATAGAATATAGGGTGTTGTTCTTAAATACCTATTTAAACGCATAATATTTGCTGTTTAATTGGTTAATTTCTTGTGTTATTTTTAGTATATGAAAACTTTCAAGTAAAATGTTATTGGCTATAAAAGGCTGTTAACCAAGGAACTTAATAGTATAAAAGTTTTGATAATACTTATGCGATATATTTTCAAATACATACGGAACAAACGTGGGGCATATGGACGAGTACGCCGCCCACAGAGTGCGGCTCGGGTTGGGGCACAGCAACAGGCACAGGACCTTGATAATGAGAACATATAAATATATTTAAGATTAGTAATCGCTTGGATCCGAAAATGGTCGTCAGTTGCACAACTCTGCTAGAAATTAAATCGAAATCATTTAAATGGTCAATATAACTCATTGCATTCACTAATTCGGGCATGCATCCAAGTACATACACATAAGTATAAATCCTAAATTTGTTTTTCATTTATCATGGAACACGCAAAAAATTTTGAAAATTCACTGAAAAAGAATACATGCAGGTTTTGAATTTTTCAAATTTTCATTTTCCAATTAGGGCCAATGTCGATGTATGTCCAGTTGAATTTGTGACATATCAAAAATACACCAATCAATTTAATGATTTTATTTAATCAAAAAATTATAAAAAAAAATTTTGATTTCAATTGATCACTTTTTAAACTGGTCAGACACAGACACACATTCTACTAAGAAAATTCCTAAAGAATTATAGCTCATCAAAATTAGTTCAAGGCACTCATGGCAACGCTGGTGTGCGATTAGTATTTGGTATCGGTGTGGACTTTGTATTTAGTAGTAGTGTAGTGAAAGTCGCATTTGTGTGAGGTATTTGTACCGAACCGAATGAAAATGTAACCAAATTCAGCAATGCGGCTCTTAAATGTAAACACTACTTAGAAGTTCATCTATGTAAAAGCTTGTATGCTAAAGTATATGCTAGAAAGCTAAACAGAGATAGTTAGGTAGAAGTGTTTTTTTTTTTTTTTGGGTAGGTGGATTGAGTGGCTTGTTTTGTTTACTGTCTGTTCTGAGGTGATATGGTGTTATGTTGTGGGTAACGTCTTCTCTTGTTTTCGTGTGGGACGTGTGTATAAAGTATTCAAATTTATTTGAATTGTAACGAAATGTTTCAACTGATTAACAATGTTAATAATGTAATGCAAATATTCGATTATTTTAATTTGTGGTTTGTTTTTGGTTTGTGTTTCGTTTTTTTTTCTTAAGAAATGAAAAATTTGCTTGTTGGTGCATCACCTGCCATTATAATAATTTTTCCATCGTCTGAAAAGAATTGATCTAGCTTAAAGATATCTGATGATTGATAAAATGTAAATTTTTAGTTTTTAGTATTTGATGAATAATTGACGTTTGTTTATTGTTTAAGAGAGCAAGTTAATAGTTCATCATATAGACCGATTGTTACGACAGAGTGTGTGACAGAGATAGACAGACAGTTGGTACGCGAGAGAAAGAGCGTGTGCGAGCGAGACAGCGAGCGAGCGTTAGTAAATATTATACAGTGGTCGCGTAGAATATGTTAGAGATAGAGAGAGAGAGAAAGATATACATATTTATGTAGAGAAAGATAGCAAGATAGACATATAAAATAAAGCCAAATGAGAAAAATGGAAAATGTTTTATAGTACGAAAAATTGTATATGTTTGGAATTTAGGCAATTTACATTTTCAACAACGATCTTTTTTTTTTAATTTGTTACGTTTGACAAGTGTAGCAAGTTTGGAATTAGTCTTGACCTTGTTTATTTATTGTTAAGTACAATACGTATGTTTGTCATTTAAATCGGGTCTGGGCTTATGGTATTTTTTACAGAGCATAACAAGTGCAGGTTACTAGAAACAAGGGCCTTAAATGCGCTTTGAACGTGGGTTTTGGACTAAGAAACTTGTTTACAAAGACGCTTTTAAAGACGTCATACCATTCATTTCTGCCTGCATATAGTGCAGGCAATGATGTACAGACTACATTTTAGCTACATTTGAGTGACTTTGACTGCATTACTTTAACAGTGGCTAGTTAATAGTATTTATATGGGGTTGGGTTTTGTATTGGTTATACAACTTTAGAGACAAGTACGTCTCTCCGAAAAATGTCTCGAATTAACTAAAATATGTTCGGGCACACCCTGGCTTACCAGCAAACCCTCCGAGTGGACCCAGTGGAATGGGCAGTGGAGCCATGGAGAGCGAAACATCGCGTTCCCGGGATTTCTCCTTGTCAGATTCCGGCGGCGATTTGCGGGATGACTTCTCCTCTTCAATTATATCTTCAATGGGCACCTAAGGTATTGAGTGTTGATTATTAAGCGTGTAATCATTCTTGGGGTACCTACATCGGGTGGCCTAACGGGATTCAGCGGTGCCATAAATTCAACCAACTTGGTCGACAGCTGATGCCACATAGTGGATGCCTCACAGTAAGCACACTCTGCCACCTGTAAACGTATCTAGTTAATATTTTAAGTATTGACCGAGTGTTAACCTTTAATCTACCTTTAACGCACATACGTGACTACTTAGACCCACCCGGGCTGCAGTCACCATGCATTTGATTAAACGTGAGACGTTTTCACACACGCTGGTGTGTATCCCCATGTGCTGCTCCACATCCTGCAGCTCCATCTGCTTCAGCAGTATGTCCAGCATGAGTATGCAACAGGTGAGGTTGTGTTCGGCATCCGTTGAGAACTCCGTATGACGATTGGTGGGCGCCTCATCGTCCGATATGGCCGAAGTATTGCCAGAGTCATCCTCCACAACAGGTGCTAAAAGCATAGAATTTCATTAAAAACAGGGAAAAAGAAGGGCTTAATCAAAAAACTTTCGAGTGATTGATGAGTAGCTCAAGATGTCTTGGATACCTTCTCATATAAGAACTTACATTGTATAAGCGATCACCATAAACAAGGTAATTTCAGTAATATTTATAATATAAAAATTTAAAAAAACACACATATGAAAGATGAATTGGCCTAGGGTGGAATTTATTGCTAAGTATCATTTTATTTATAAGTAAAAGTAAAAGTCAGTTATGTGTCTCAATTTCCAAATCTAGGGAGGCTTATTACTAAGGGTTCCTCTAATTATAATAAAAGCTCTAACCTCAGTTAGGTGTTTCAATTTTAAATTCTAGGGAGGTGACCAATCTTTTGTTTTATTACTAACAATCACTCTAATTATAACTGAAAGGTCTAATATCAGCTATGTGTCTTAACTTTCATAAATATAGCTACAGCTGAGAGACTGGTTTTCAACAGACAAACAGACAGGTGGTGTCTTTTCTATAGGGATATGCAAATGCTATTAGCAACATTTATACGTACAAATGGAACTACGTCTGGGTGGATTGGCCATTTCGGCCTTGCTCTCCTTGCATGGCGTCTTCGGCGCCTTGGCCTGCTGCTGCTGCTGGGCCTGGGGATCCTTCTCTTTTTCTCGCATTAGCTCGTGTTGTATGCCATACTTCATGATGCGCACTCCATCGCCGAACATGGCAAAGAGCTGGACGAGTGGGATAAGTATTTCCAGCTTGGTGAGTATCTGGAGCCAGTGAAGAGCCTGCTGTTGGACCTTGGCCGTCGTTTTCTCGAACCGAATGGCCACAAAATTGTACATGGTCTTTGCATCGAAGCCGAGTGGAGACATTTCTGGATCGAGTATCTTGCTCAGTACAATTTTCAGTTCGTTGAGCTCCTTTTCGGCTACATCGTTGGTGATGGCCTCCATCCAGTGCGGCATCACATAGTCCCAGATCTCCGAAGTGATCACTTCGTACGGTACCAGGCAAATCAATCGCTGAAGACCCTCCTTTAGGTGGCTGGTGCGTGAGGCTAGCGTCTCCCAGTGGCCACCGACACGGGCGTATTCTGGCGGATGGGGAAGCAGACAGGAGATGAACACATTGTAGTGTATGCGACAAATCTCTTTTAGCCAATTGCACACGTGATCCACCTTCAGCTTCTCAATGGTGCTCTCAATCTGACCGGCAGCTTGAGGGAAGTACCACAAAATTATCAAATATTATGTCAAAAATAATTAGTTGGTTTTGTCGTTACCATCGTATGAATAGGCTGTGACATGGAACCAATGAAAGAGCATGCTTAGAATGCGACCCAGGACTTCGACGGGTGTATCGGGTGTGGGTGTGCAACGGCCCACTAGCAGCCAAATGCCATAGCGACCCAGCATCTGGCGCTCCTCGAGGGAAATGTTGTCGGGCGTGATGGACAAGCCGTTCTTCTTTGCCTCCGATGAGGAGGACTCCTTGCCAGGCTCAAAGTTCAGGGGCTTGGCCTCGCGCAGCAAACTAACCACCGACTCGACCATGTGCATTTGCATCTCTGGGTCCATTTGCCAAGCAGGCTGCAGGCTGCGATGAACAACATGATCACCGCCACGTCGAGAATTATGACGATTGCTGTGGCATTGGGCACAGTAGCGAATGGGATGATTGCCGTTGAAGCTGGCGCATTCGGTTGAGAAGCATATAGAGAAGGCGGACTTCTCGTTGGAGCGACAGTTTTTGTTCTCACACACCATGGACACCTGTTGCATGGGATGTAGAATGTCACCAAACTCCAGATTTGCATGCTCCCGGTGTATCTCGTTGGCGCACTCGATGCACAGATACAATGGCGGGGGGCAGTCCTGGGCATAGGTGATACTGATGCTATGATCATAGCACACCTTGGCCGCCTCAGCGTTTCCGGCATTGGGGCAATGTTCACGCTGACAGGTGAATGGAACTAGATCATCTGTTCAATAGAATAAGCCCGAAGATATTTATTTCTATCATATATTCACTATTTGTGTACTCACTGGTTAATTTGGAGAGTAGAACCTTGCGATCAAATAGATTGGCATCGAAGGCTGGCCAGTAGTAGAAGAGCAGCTTGGCAGCGGAGGATCGAGAGACAGCAGTGCCATAAGCGACCACACACAGTATATCCTTGACCACATTATGCTTGAGAGTCATCAGACACTCGAGTAGTTGACAATGGTGTGCTGAAAGAGTGGATGAATTTAAAGAATGGGCAGGGAACTTTACACGGACGCCACGTTGTTAAAATTAAAATTGAACAAAAATTACAATTTGGTCCCAGTTACGAAATTCAGACCTTCCCTGGCTACGCTCTTGTAAGCTCTATATAATTAAGTTAAACTTCCTCTTAATAACCGTGTATGAAAAATGCCAGTGGAATAAAAAAAACAAAACATTTTTAAATGGCCTTCAACTCGAATTCGTTCCGGCGGTTTATCTGAAGTACTTTGTGCTTTAAGTACATATAACTATGATGATTTAAGCTTTCTTAATTGCTAAACAGTCACCACGAAAACAGTTTATGTACGAAATACTTAATTACTGCTTACCTGGATTTTTGGAATACTGCAAAACCATTATGATGACAGAGGAGACAGATTGACAGGCTTGGCACTCTTGCTCATCGGCGCTGCGACGTGCTGGGATACATTTTAAAATCAGGTTAGACTAAAAGCTGTATATGACTGAAAGCTTAACGTACTTATAGTAAATGGTAAGATATAATAGCACAGTGCATTGACAATATCCTGATGCAAAGCTGGCGGTAGTACAGATATAGTAGAGCTAACTAGATAGGGGAGGTTATCAATAAGGTCCTTATCGAGAAAGGGTAATATGCAGCTTAGACACTGTAGTAAAGCCTTGCCGAAAACTGTAAAAATACATGATTTATTAAAAATGGTTCTAATATAACTACAAATAACTCTCACCGATTTGTCCATACTGAATGCAAGGTGCCACATCGATGAGCATAGTTAAAGCATTATAGAGATTGCCATATTCAAGATTGGGGTAGGCAGACATGCGTGTGGGATCTTCGAGTGGATCGCGTATAAGTTCGTGCGGAGAAGTGCGCACATCTTTAAGGACAGCTTTAACAAAATATTCACATATATATTAATCAATCTCGTCAATAGGCTAAGCTAACACTTACTTAATAGAGTTTGAGAAAAGTATTTGATATTGTTAGCAATATCGACGCCAGAGGGCGCAGGTAAGACGTTGTGCAATAGGCGTACATGGTATTCATGAAGGGCTCTCAGTTTTGCCTGAACTGCAAAAAGACGCATAGCGTAAATAAAACCAAACTTGCCACTTGAGACTATTTGGGGTATACTTACAGGCGGCAGCGCGAGTGCCCATGTTGATGAGTTGCACCCTAAAGCTACCAGTCATTATATCAGACAAGTCCTTTGCATTGCCGAAACTACTGCCCAGCGACTTCGCATTCTATAATTCACAATAAAGTATTGAAAAATTCATATTTAATTATATTATCCTTGGTCATTGCGTAATATGAGTAAGCACAAAGCTGATGCTGCAAAATGTAGCAAATCATCCGCAATTTCATTTAAAAAGTATAAACTTCATATGCCTGGCAGAGTCAGGAGCTGTGAGTTTGTGTTTTTGATAAGCTTACCTCGAAATTTGTTAGTTTTTTCAATAAATTTGCAATTTTTTACGGGTTGCACTGCGCACCTTGACCACAAAGAAAAATCTCTATAACTAAACTGAGTTCTGTATGTGTTCTCTGAATATGGGGTGTGTATCTGTAGAAGAATTTTTCGTAACTGATGCCAGACCCTGTTGCAGGTGTTTCAATTAGATGGCTTTTTTGGCACCTTTGATATACGACTTTTGAATTTTATTCACTTGTTTAGACGAACTATCATTTATAATGTATTTTTATAATGATTTCAATACATTTTCTTATTGAAATGCAAAATAATTTACAGCTGGAAAATTGTGTTGGGTATGTGCTGACCCACTTTTCCTACTGCTGATTACCACTCACCCCGAAAGCGGGCCAAAAAACCAGCTGCAACTGGGACATGCGCATTTTCAATGTTTACTTCACATTTTTGCCGTACCCGCGGTTTCTGCTTTATCAATTCAACAGCCGGTCGAGAACAACAAGTGTTTGTTTTGGTCGTCTCGCATGTAAATATTTACCGCATTCCTTATCAGTTGGCTTCGACTAGCGTTTGCGCAGTTGCTGCGCAATGTTTGTAAATATTTTCCATCTGTTCTCAGCAAATGCAACAAGTTGCCTTTCGGAGACTTTTCAAGTATTTGTGTAGACTGTTGGAAATATACCGTTAGTCTGCTGTCGACATTGAATTTTAGGAATATTCAGAATTTAAAATATTTAAAAGTTATCAATTATATCAAACAAGTCGAGCTTTTACACAGTGCCGGAAAACAAATGCTTTTACTGAAAGTGCAGTTACATATTCAGATGTATGTACATATGGATGTGAGTGTAGATATGGGTAATTAAAAAAAAAAATTAAAAGATGTTTTTGGCTGGCTCCAGCTAAAGTGTTTTTTTTTTTTTTTACAATTTTTTTATACTTTGATACCGATGGTGTCATAGTATATTGGTTTTGTGCAATGTCCGTGACGGACATGTCTGTCTGTCTGTCCGTCTGTATGGACGCAACTTTTTTCGACACCCTTTGAGATAGGGACTTGAAACTTGGAACGCATGCTGGTCTGTGCCCGCGTCAGACAAAGTGTAAAAATTTGAGTGCCACGTCCATCAGCGGGCTAGGAATACGATAAGATCGATATTCGCAAATCGATAAAGATACAGTCACAAAATTTAGTTGGTAGGTTGTTGGCAATATCCTTCAAAGATAGTCAGATGCCACGCCCACCTCCACCGCCACGGCCCACGCCCCCTAAAAATGTTTAAAAGCCGATAACAAATGTGTATGGCCACGCCCACACCTGCGCTTATAATCGCTAATGCCGATATTTCGGAGAGTGTACTTCGATAAGTCCGCCTATCTCCCACAATTTTGAAGATAGAGTGACCAAACTTGGAAGATAACTTGCTGGTAACCTCCTCCAAGAAATCGCATATAAATTTTCAGACCTGTTGTGTAAATCGATTAGACCATATTTCGTACACAATTTGAAAGCTAGAGTCACCAAATTTGAAAGGTATATTGCTACTAACACCCCTTCTAAAATCCGGAACATCCGGATCACTAACATCGTACTCCAAACATTTTTTTGGCCACGTCCACTCCCGCCCAAAAATTTGCAAACGCCTATATCTCCAGTAATTTAAGAGCTAAATTTACCGAACTTGGAAATAGGATTACTAGGAAACTTCTCTTATGATTTTATCTCTGATCTCCCGTAATTTAAGAGCTGCAGTTACCAAACTTCGAGGAAACGTTACTAGCTTATGGATACCGCAATTTGAAAGGCAAACTTGGACAGTATTTCTTGGTTACACCCATCCTGTTATTTGCTAGCTGTTATCAGCTGGTGTTACGTAAGGTATCAAAGCATTTCGCAGTCGGTTACACCCGACTGCAACGTTCTCTATTGTATTTTATTTATTCTCCGATATATTTTGGATAAGGTATTTTCATGTCGTCATTTCATATCAGATTTATGTCCAGAAAGTCATGTTTTTAATTTTGATTTTGTTGTTCCAAAATATACTATGTCATTTACGGTGATCCCGTCTCCAGCGCATAGTATCCTGAAAATTGCTTGTCTCCAGAGGTTATATTTTACTCTTTGTGAGGAATAATTTTAAGGGAATAATTAAGTTTGCATGTGAGCAGATGGACTATGCTATATATGTAAATTTTGTCTTCTGTATATTAAGAAAATTAGATATCACTTCATATATTTTTTAATATTTAATTAAATTACCTAAAAATTGTTAGGAAAAAAATAAGTCGAAGTTTGTGGAATCTACAATATTCGTTGCGAATTTTTGAGGATGAAACAATACCAATTGAGATCAGATATTCAAATTTTTTCCAACTTTATACTAATTTATTTATTTATTAATTTCGGCTAAAAAATAAATTCTAAGCAGCAGTCTTATTTAATAAATTGCTGTTTATTTTTCATACTTTAATTAATGATATTTCGCAATTAAGTACACACTTGGAATTTTTTAGTTGAGACTGAAGGGTGTCTCATTTTAGGGCTTCCTTGGAAAGTGAAAAAACATGTATGCGCAAGGGGTTGGTAAGGACTTTTGTCTGGATTACGTGGCACCCTTTAACCTGCTCCGAAAAAAGGGGAGAAATCAAAACCGGGAGTCACTTTAACAACAGATTTAACTGAACTGTGTGAACTGACTGTCAGACAAATTGGAATCGGTTTACAAGCTGAAAATGTGACGGGTAGTCGCAAATATAAATAAACATTAATATCATATTCAGGTTTTTTAAAATGCTAAATTTAATTATTATAATTTGAAGCTGAACTGCAGACGAACTAGTTTTACCTATATGTGTGTACATGTGTATGTATGTGTGTGTGGGGCAGACGGCTGGCAGTCCCTTACAAATTGGGTAACAATAAATTTAAGTAGATTGAAGCCTTGACCTAGGCTTCCTTTTTGTCCACTATATCATCAGAAATGGCGAGCATTTGAACCTCCTCTTCTAATGACTTTTCTGTCCCAATCATTTTTATGGTCTCACGCGATGTAACTGGTGTTTCTGGTAAACCTATTTCAGCGATAGCCGGTTCAGTTTGCTGTACTTGGTTCAGCTCGATTGCCTCCTGTTTCGTTTCTGGGAAATCTTGATGATCATGGGAGCCTTCTCTGTTGATCGCCTTTTGGCGATGGAAAAGATGCCTCCAATAGGTTGATATCGATGACTTCAATGTGGGTTTTGCGTTTGGCGCGGGCTTGCCAGAAGTCTCCTCCATGTCCGGGTTGGTGCTGGTTGAGGGCTCGATAGACTCTGTAAAGTTGACATTACGCAGAGTTGCTAGAGTCAATATTAGATACCATTGTTGTCACCTGTTTTTGAAGTGCTCTTCAATCGTGTCAATAAGCGATTAATGGTGCCCGGCTTAGCGGTGTCTTTGTTGACCTCGTCATCCAGTTCGTTTCCATCCTCGGCAAAATTTTGGGTAGGGTTGGCTTTCTTGCCAAGCTTAAAGAAGCGTTTCAGCGAATTGCTTTTCGGGCCGCTTGTGTCATTGTCAGTTGTACTATCATTAGTGGTTGGTATAATGTTTTCTGGCTCGGTAAGAGGTACATCTTGAAGGTTTGACATTGTGCAACCACTTGAATTTTTCAAATTTTTTTATTTGTATTCAGCTCGTTGACTTACGAAATAAAAATGAGTGTAACTAAACAGATTACACAAACTGCTTTAACTTTCAATCCAAAGCCTACTGAAAATTGTTCCATAAACATAAAATCCTGCTGTTGGCATTTGAAAATTTATATGTCTGCCAATTGGTCGTAGATTTTAGACCCAGCCACCATGTGTTACCAACGACATCGAATCTGGTTTCAATTGATACGATATTAATTTCTTATTTGTTTTTTTCTCGCTACGATTGTTTGTGAATACCAATACCAATGCCGATAGGAGCCAATATCAGTTCAATATTCAATACGTACCTTACAATACCCCTCGTTATTCTGTTAGTCCATTGTGCCAATTGTTCCCTGCCCGTTCCACATTCCTATACATACATCCAGTGTTCAGTGGCCAGTGGCCACCAACAAAGCCGTTTTGTTTCGTTCCGAGCTGCCTCTGTCAAAATCAATTGAAGAAGTGGCGACTCCTGCTGTCGACACTGCTTTGTATAGGTTGTTATTACGGTTGTACTACAAGTATTGTGTGCACATTTATTTATGTAGTTATATTGTATACCAGCACCAGCTGAACAATGGACCATCGCCAACAGCACTTCTTAATTTTTGTTCTGCTTATAAAAAGGGGAGTAAGGGGATTTTTTGTATTTTAACTGATTGTCCTTTTAAGGCATGTGGAGCAGGTATTTTGTCAACGTTTTATGTTCTTTTATGCTGAGAGTCCAATGAATCTTTATTAGCACTTAATACGATATCTTAGCTTAATAACAAAAATAGTAGTTGATATTTATTACCCTGGAGAGGGGTTCTAAAATGTAGCAATTTAAGTCTAACTTGATACATCTTGATAGAGTTGCTTCAAATTAATTGAACATTTTTGATCTCAATTCTGGGATGGTTTTAAAATTCTATTGATCAAATTCGGAAATTAATATGATTTAGCGAATTTTTAACTCTAAAACAAAATTGATTTGCGAATGTCTTTCGATAAGTAATTTTTTCAAGTGGTATCAGGAAATTCCATAGTCAGTTACACCAAAACTTTTACCTTGTACCATTACGTATCGGTACCATACCAATAGCGTACTGTAAAAGTCAAGGTATCAATATGTAACCGATTACCATAGAAAAATAGCAGAATATTTACCAGAATTGTTATACTTTACGTACCAAAATCGGAGCCTAAATTATTTTTTAGTTCGACCTGAATTCGAGATTAAAGCATCAATTTTATATAAGTACTTCATTGTATTTATGGTTGCATTTCACAAAATCAAATTTAGATAAAATTGTGAAATTGAAAATTCGTATTTAATTAAATGTTGAAGTTGAACTCAACTGTTTGTAAGAAGCACAGCGGGCATATATCAATAAATCATTAGTATAAAGGAGAAAAATGGAAATATAGGAATAAACATCGCCAGGGAGCATCTGCTAGTGAGCTAACGAGTTTTTCTCCCACTCCAAGCAAAGTGTGAAAATGTCAGTGACAATGAGTTGGAGTTGCATTTGCGAGGATATAACTGCCATGAAGGGCTTGAGCTTGTGTGAGGGGGAGGGGGCGCAATATGATGCCAACCGGAAAAGTTGCTTGTGACATGGCGGCAAATTCATTGCCAACACATTCATAACAAGCAGCGGCAATAGCAGCCACCAGGAATACAACAATAATATCAACACCCCCTGGGCCTACGCATCAACAAAAGGGCAGCAGTGAAGCAAGTGAAAACAATGGCAACAGAAGCTGCAGCAGACCGCAAAATGTGTTGCATGCCCGTTGGCGCTGGTATGAAGACGAAGTTGCTTGCTGCTGCTGGAGTTGGAGATGTTGCCTCATCTGGCACAGGCACAACAGACAATCCACATAGACAAAAGGAAGCAAGTGCATTCATTCATTGGCAATAACAATCAAACTGCTGCTGGCACTCTGCTGCTGTTGCCGTTAAAGTAACAGGAGAAACCATTCCAACCTGCACATCTCTCTCTCTCTCTCTCTCTCTCTCTCTCTCTCTCTCTCTCACTCACTCGTCGCATTTCTTGTTGCGCTTTTGCAATGCCATTCAACTCGTTTGTGCCGCCGACACAGGCAATGACAACAACTTCTAAACATAACCATTAAATTTTGTTGACTTTAATATTTCGTTGGGTCCGTTTAGTCTAATTGTAATAGATAGAATAAAATACTCATTCTATGTGGCTTTCCTCATGTGGGAAAAGTAAACATCCAACCAGGCGGACTTTGATAAAGGTCATAAATTCATTAGAAGATAGTTCAATTTGGCAATACTTCAAATCCGCCTCTAGAATTATAGTATTTGATTAGTGCGACTCTGTTTACATGAGACCCCTTGCGATAAAGAGTTCAATCGCTTTGGTTTATTGGCCCCTCAGCAGCAAGAACAAGAATACCCAGCTCTATTCAAATAAATATTTCATGTATAACGATATCTGTATTTGTATGCTTAAGGCGTATTGATAATGCTCTTTTTATTATTTCACACTTTCACTGTGAAGCTTACGATATGTGACTCAATATCTAAACAGGGGACACATTTGAGATATCATGGGCATTGGTAAATTCCGTTGAACTCATAAGCAGACTTTGGCGACAAAAAAACTGTTTAGCATAATGGAAACGTTATAGCCAATTGTAAGATGTGTTTAATTGATTCGCGCAATAGACCGATACGCTCATTTATGTTTTTCGTTCTAAGAACCTTCCAAGCAATATTATTTAATTTATTATATTTATTCTAAAATTATTCAGTTGGGCAGTTGCGTAATTTATTGAATAAATCTAATTATTTATTTATTGATAATAATAAGCGTAAGACGATTATTTTTATCAACGAGGGAGCTAAATTAAATTATTATATAGCTGCTATTGCTCTGTAAATACAGTTTTAGACTATAAGTTAGCTCTATATAAATTAAAGATAAATAAATTATTTGTCTACATACGGCTTTACTCCATTTACAGTTGTTATTAAATGTCTAAGATATAATTTAGCAGAGAGAATGTTTATTTTATGACAAGTATATTAATAAGTGTAATAGCCGCCAGGTATATACACTGGAATATTAAAGTGCATAATTAGGTGGCTTGTATATAATTTATAGTTACAGCTCAACATTATTAAATCAAATTGAAAACATTATTGGCTACTTTAACTATTACTGGGACTCGAACCCGGAACATCGTTCTTCGCTAATGATTCGATTACGTAGCCAATCCATTTGCATCAAAGTATATTGACTTGGATCTCTGTAACTCAGATAAATATATATGTTTATCTTGCCTGTTTACATTTACTTTACTTGTTACTCGTTCACTGTTTCTTACACTAATGCTTAAGAGCAGAACCGTTGACAACAAGTCACAGCTTGCCATCAAGTTAATCAATTACAACATGCCACAATACATTTAACCGTTGCAGGCGCCAACGAAGCTGTTGATATCGATATCGGGAGAGGGAATCAAAAGAAACACAGCGCCACAGTGAACAGAATGTCAACAGTTTAATAAATAAAATCAGTCAGCACCATAGCAGATCCACATCCAGCTCCAGATCCAGAGCCCCGAACTCAGTCCTCAGCAGTGGGGGCTGGAAGCAGGCGCGCGACCGCAATTAAAAAAGCCACAAGCTCGAAACGCGTCTGCAAGTGCGCGAGATCAAACTCTGGTTCAGATTTAGCGGCAGAGTCAGAGTCAGACTCAAAGTCAGAGTCAGAGTTGGGGACAGTGCACGGTGTTCCAAGGTTGCTGGGAACATATGTGGGCATGTCTGAAAGAATCTTTGGCGTCGCGTCGTGTGCGACAGGAGCAGATTGCCGCTGCTGATCAGAATCAGCGCAGACTTTTTCTTTTTCTCATTTTTTTGATACTTGAGTCTGCTTGAAAAATATGATCGATTTATTATGCGACGAGTCGATAGCGAAGCGCTGACATCTGATGGCAGCTACAGGCCCAACGACAGCATGGCAAGGGGCAGCTCGAAGTTCTATCGTGGCCCACAGAATATGTGCGACATTGATTTTCGTAAAGTAATGAGGCAACTCATTAATCATTTTTTAGTTGTGTATGTGTGTAAAAATTCATCGTCAGGGGGATTATGTTGCTAGCATCGCAGCAGCATCAGCAGTAACAGTCGAACGTACTGACGGAATGTTGGCAACATGTTGCGTTTGCTGCCAGCTGCAGCAGCATTGTTTTCGAGGAACCTCTCGCTGCACATTTGCCCGCGTACCCCTCTGTCGACCGTTGTGTTTCTCACTGTGTTCAGCGTGTGCTTTTCGCGAACACTGCTTGGTTTTGTTAAACCTTTTGACCAATTTGGTGGTCATTGGCCATTCACTTGACTTGCGCCTGTTGCTTGTCGGTTGTCGGTTGTCCATGTCTGATGTCTGCCGCTTGCTGTTTGCCAGTTGCCAATTGTCTGATGCCTGCGGTTGCTCTTTTGGCACACAACGCACCATGTCTGACAGTTTGGCCGATTGCCTAGCCTCTACCTATATATATCTCTCTCTCTCCATCTCTGTCGCTGACTGTGTCGTGCGTTGCTGTCGCGGTCGCGGTCAATTCCTGGCTTGTGGCACACACATGCGTCACTCTGCGCCACCTTTGTAGAGTCTTTGGTGCATTACAATAATTTTGGCGTTCTTGACATTCAGTTGGGGTTAATGCTAACCTTATTAGGAGCTATTCATTTATTAAGTAATAATTATTAATTTATAAAATCATTTGCACATTCTAAACTTTAATTTCTAACTAATAAATTAAGTAATATTAAAATTTTAGTTTCTAAATTTATTCCATACATTTTTAATTTTCAATTTTAAAATATAGGTAGCGACGAAATGTACAAATTTAAATTTAAAAATAACTTGAATCTCGTAAAACAATAAATAAATTCTAATATAGTTTTATCTTTTCATTTCTTACAAAAAAAAAAAAAAATTAATAATTTAAAATTTCAAAATAACTTAAGTCTCGAAAAATAATATACAAATATTAATATTTTTTGTTGGCTCAAGGTCAAGCATTTTTTTATCGTGGAGCTAGATAAAAACATATTTTAATTAAA